GACTGGAATTACTGGGTGAAATGTTGTCAGGATTAAAACCAGCCCATGTGTGTTCATATCACAGAATCCCAGGATCCCTGAGGTTGGAAAAGCCCTCCCAGCCCATGGATCCCCCTGTGCCCCATCCCCACCTTGTCCCCCAGCCCAGAGCACTGAGTGCCACGGCCAGGCCTGCCTTGGACACCTCCAGGGCTGGGCACTCCAAACCTCCCTGGGCAGCCCCTGCCAAGGCCTGACCACCCTTGCCAGCAACAAATTCCTCCTCCTGGCCAACCTGAGCCTCCCCTGGCACAGCTGGAGGCCGTTCCCTCTCCTCCTGTCCCTGTTCCCTGGGAGCAGAGCCCGACCCCCCCCGGCTCCCCCCTCCTGGCAGGGAGTTGATCTTCCAGCTCTCTCCCAACCCGACCCATTCCATGATTCTGTGATCCAGCAGTTTGGTTGTTGCCACAGGTGTTGAGAAGCCTCTGCAGTGGGAGTTGCTTTGTCAGCCTCATTTGGCTGCCTGGCAAAAACCCACAAGAATCGGTGGAAGTTGACATTTGTGAAGGTTTTGTGAAGGTTTTTGCAGTTTGAAGCTGTTCCTGCAAAGGGCAGAAACTCTGGAGGGTTTGGCAGACTGGTGCCTGTGTTAGAGACCTGATCTCCAAAGAGCAGGAGCCAAACTTCCAGGAATGTCTCAGGCTGCTTTTGTCTCCCAACATGGATCTAAAGTTGCCAGGCTGTGCTGGAGCTCTGGAGCCCTCTGACTGATCCTGCTCTAAGGGAGGGCTCACAGGCAGACCCCTCAGCCTGGGACACTCCCAGGACATCCTGCCTGGGGATCGTGTCCTTTAGAACTCTTGAAGGATGTGGGGGTTCATCTGCTTGGGTTTGTTCCTCCTTTTCCTGCAGGAGGAGGAAGGTGGCTGATAAGTGGCCTCAGGAATTCTGGATTTGAATGGCAGAATTATCTCACAAGGAGTTATTTAGAAACACAAACACTGCGTTGCATTTTAAGGAAAACAAAAATATGATCTTTTCCATGTGGAACTTGTGTGTGTAAAGACACACAGCACTGAAATAGCTCAATTATTGTTAATTTATACCTCCTGTGGTGTTATTGCAGTTGTATGTACACATGGCCTCAGCAGAGCACAGGCAGCTAGGAATAGAAACCATAACAAAGTTTGGAGCCGTGTTTTGGGGCTGACAAAGGGACAGGGCTCACAGCCCATGTCCCTTCAGCTGCTCAGAGCACAGTGACCCTGGGCAGGGGGAAATCCCACAGAGCAGCTGGGGAGGTCCTGTGGGCATTGGCAAATTATGGATCTCCTGGAACATCAGCTGTGTCTTGTGCTGCTCCAGAGCCGGGGGGGGTCGGGCTCTGCTCCCAGGGAACAGGGACAGGAGTAGAGGAAACGGCCTCCAGCTGTGCCAGGGGAGGCTCAGGTTGGCCAGGAGGAGGAATTTGTTGCTGGCAAGGGTGGTGAGGCCTTGGCAGGGGCTGCCCAGGGAGGTTTGGAGTGCCCAGCCCTGGAGGTGTCCAAGGCAGGCCTGGCCGTGGCACTCAGTGCTCTGGGCTGGGGGACAAGGTGGGGATGGGGCACAGGGGGATCCATGGGCTGGGAGGGCTTTTCCAGCCCCAGGGATCCTGGGATTCTGTGACCTTGGTGGGGAGAGGCCCTGTGGGGTGGCTGGGGTTGGTACCGCTCTGGGCATGGGAAAGCTGGGCTGATCCTTTCCTGGGCAGTTGGGAAGTGCAGAGCCCGTGACTGACCCCGGTGTTGGGGGTTTGTTGTGTGCAGATGAGATGTGGATCTCTTGTTTAGGGATGAAGGGATTTGTGTTGGAAGGACATGTTTAATGTTGGACCTGTTTTTCCAATCCCAGGGTGGGAGCAGCTTGAAGTCCTCTGTGCAGTGAGATGAGCTCAGTTCTTTCTAAAAGCAGGAGAAAGGAGCTGTTGCATCTTCCAGTTCTTGTGGGAAGGAATCCACTGGATGGAGTTTTCCCAGTTCATTCCTGGCCAGTTTTGCTGATGCAGTTCTGGGCTGGCTTCCCAAGGAAATGGAGTGTGTGAGGGACCGATGGGGCAGTTGTGCTTCCCCTTCTTGTCTCCTCTTCTTCCTGTTTGAGCAGTTCCTGAATTTCTGAACTCCTTGGTCCCTGTCAGTTGAGTTTGTCAGAGTTCCTACAGATACAAATGGCAGTACTTAGGGAGGAATCCCTGCTTTCCTGAAGGGGGGGAAGGCCCAGAGCTCAGCTTACCCACCCTGGATTTCCCTCAGGTCTCTGGGTGGTGGATTCTCCATCTTTTTTGGTTTGTCCCAGTGCCTTTGGGGTGCTGGGGGGAGCAGGGAAGGCAGAGGAGTGGAGTTGCTGCTGCTGTGGAACTGGTAGGGCTTGGGCAGGTCCTCACAACCCTCCTGCAAAGCCAGAACTGGAGTGCTGTGAAACTCCTGGTCCCCGTCCGCCTTCATTTTCCTGCATAACACCCCATTCCAGCTGCTGGAATCAGTTGTCCACAGCTGCAGATTTATTCCTGTGCAATCAGGGCTGCTGGTGTCCCCTCAGCCATGTGGAATGAAGCCTGTGCTTGTGCAAGCTGGGTTTTCATGGGCAGTAACTCCCTCAGAGGGGTTTGTGTCTCTCTCCATTTCCTTCCCGGGGTATCTCTGCCCACAGTCCATTTTAGTTTCAGTCTCTCAACTTTAAATGCACTTTTCTGCTCCTTCTCTCCATTTTATTTCATCTGGATTTGTTTTTTTTCTCTCTTTCTTTTTTTTTTCCCCCCTCTGGAAGCTCTTTGGAATGGCTTCTGCTTTCCTTGGCATCCAGCACCGGGCTGGGCTTCAGACCTCCCACCCCCTCCCCTCTTTGTGCTGTGTCCAAGGTAGAGGGGAATGCACTGCCCTTCCTTTGGGGTACTGGCAGTGTGGGAGGGTGTCCTCCCTGCAGCACTGGGGCTGCTCTGCTGCTCCTGCTCCTGTTAAACAGGAAAATATTATATGGCAACTGCCCGGGCTGGGGGAGGGGGAGGGCAGAGGGCTCTGCTTTTGGCTTTCCTTCTTTCTTTCTTTTTTCTTTCTACTTTTTTTTTTTTTTAACTTCTTTTTCTTCCTCCTTTGCCCACATCCCCCTCTCCATTTATCCTTCTCCTTTTTTTCTCCTTTTTATCTCCTCTCTTTCCTTCCTCCTTTTTCCTCCTTTTTTTTACTCCTCCTTTTTTTCCCTCTTTTTCCCTCTTCCTTTTTCCTCCCCTTTTTTCCTCCTCCTTTTTCCTTCTTCTTTTTTCCTCCTCTGTTTTTCTCCTCTTTTTTCCCTCAATCTTTTTTCTCTTCTTTTTTCCTCCTCCTTTTTCTTCCTGTTTTCCCCTCCTTTTTTCCTCCTCTTTTTTTCCTCCTTCTTCTTTTTTTCCTCCTTCTTCTTTTTTTCCTCCTTCTTCTTTTTTTCCTCCTTCTTCTTTTTTCCTCCTTCTTCTTTTTTTCCTCCTTCTTCTTTTTTCCTCCTTCTTCTTTCCTCCTTCTTTTTTTTCCTCCTCTTTTTTTCCTCCTTCTTCTTTTTTTCCTCCTTCTTCTTTTTTTCCTCCTTCTTCTTTTTTTCCTCCTTCTTCTTTTTTTCCTCCTTCTTCTTTTTTTCCTCTTCTTCTCCTCCTTTCTTCCTCCTGCTTTTCTCCTCCTCTTTCCCCCAGGCTCTCCTTGCAGTCCCAAACCCCACCAGCCTTGCAGTTCTTACCCACAGCTGAGTACCACAAGAAACCAGAGGTCAAACTCAAAGTGCTGATCCCTGAGCACCTCAGAAAAGCTCCTGGCAGAACCCCCCATCTCAGGGAGCTCGTTCTGAGCACTCTGGATCCCCGAGCCTGGGATTGGAGCCTTTGGAGGGGAGGTTGCTGTGCCTGGAGCAGCCTCAGCTGCGTTACCTGGCCCTGGGAGAAGGTTTGGAGTCCTGTGGTTGGCCCATCCTTCCCGTTCCAGCTGCTGCAGCCTGGCTGGCAGCAGGGCCAGAGGTTCTGCAGGGCCACCAGGGAGGGGATCCGGGAGAGGTTCCCAAGTTGGGAGCCAGAAGAGAACGTGGGAAGTGTGGGAGGGGGGTGGGGAGGAGAGCAAAGAGGAATTCAGACAAAAGGAAGTTGTTGGTGCGAGTGAATGGCCTTTCTGGGTGATATTGATAAATATCTGCTGCTGCTGGGGCAGCCTCAGTTATTCTCCTCCTGATCCCGTTCCCTTTTGCCTTTCTGCTGTTGCCTGGAAAACACGAGTGGAATCCGGGAGGACAAGAGGCCGCCCCTCATTGTGGAGCGGCCCCGGTGCTGGGCATTGTCCCCTGGCCCAGGCAGCTCCTGTCAGCCTTTGTGTGCTGCAAGAAAAATGGTTCTCCTTCTCCTGCAGATGAGGTTTGGAGCTGTGGAGGCTGCTTTGTGTGCAGGGCAGAGCAGCTCCCACCCGGGGATTGCTGGGCCGTGGCACCTCTGGCTGCCTGAGCTGGGGGCAGAGCGGGCTGCAAGTGGAGCTGCGTTTTCTGAGTGTGTTTTGTTTCAAACTCGGAGCAGGGCAGGGCCTTTGCTGCCAGCAATGAAAACCAGATCGCTGGAGGGGTTGTGTTTAACAGCTGGAAATGGAGCCAGTTCTCCTCTGGAGCAGGAGCAGGGCTTGGAACATCAGGAGAGGCACGGAGCCCTGGGCAGAGTCACTGGGATCTCGCTGAGCTCTGTCCTTCACTCCATCACTGATGATTAAATCACTGAGTAAATTAATTAATTAAATTCTAAAGATTGAGTTTGAGGATATTCTTGGAGCAGAACTGAAATGTAGGAAAATATCCTCCTGGATGCACAGGGTAGTGCAAGAATGAGACACTGAGCTCTGCCAGTCACAGTTCCTGTGGGCAGGAGTGACACAATCCTGCTTCTTCACTGCCTTTTTTTTTTGCTTAGTAATTAATCAGACAAAAATGTATGGAAAATGGAAGATACTGTAACTGTTTGAATATCTCTTTATGTTTTTTTTTTTCTTTTCCAGGCATCTCTTAACAAGCTAAAAGTGACAGAACCATGGCTCAGTTTCCAACACCTTTTGGGGGTAAGTGCTTTCTGCTGTTTGAATTATTCCCATATGCCAAAACTGAGAGCATAAATGTGTCCCTTTGTGAGTGTTTTCTCCCTGGGGTGTTTGTGGGGAGTGTGGTGGTTTCAGGCACATCCCAGCAATGGCAGAGTGGGCAGGATCCCTGCCCTGCATCGATCCCCCCAGCCCCACAGTGTGTCCCTGCAGGGCACAGCCAGCCCCTGGCAGGAGGGCATCACCTCCTTCTGTTCCACTTGTGCCTGAGGGAGGATTCCTGGGCTTTTTAATTGCTGAAAAGCCCAGCAGATGCCTTTGGATGTGGCCACTGGCAGTTTCTGTCCTTGCTGTCCCACAGCCCTGTTTAGATGAGACCAAAAGTGACGCATTTTTAGCTTTCCATTTTTCTCAGGGAAGTTGTAGCACCTGGAATTGCAATGAAAAATCCAGGATGGGCCCTGACAGTGCAATAGGGACATTATTTTTGCTGTTCACATGAAACCAAACAATTACAGAGTGGCTTGGGTTGGGAGGGACCTCAAAGCCCACCCAGTGCCACCCCTGCCATGGGCAGGGACACCTTCCACCAGCCCAGGCTGCTCCAAGCCCCGTCCAGCCTGGCCTGGGACACTTGCAGGGATCCAGGGGCAGCCACAGCTTCTCTGGGTAACCTGTGCCAGGGCCTGCCCACCCTCCCAGCCAGCAATTCCTTCCCAATATCTCACCTAAATTTCCCCTCTTTCACTTTGAATCCATCACTCCTTGTCCTGTCACTGCAGTTCCTGATCCAGAGTCCTGCTCTGGCTTCCTTGTGGGCCCCCTCAGACACTGGGGACACATTTTTAGTTCAGTTTTGCAGCTGATCTGCAGAAAGATTATGAAGATACATTTCAGTGTAACTGCTCTGGTTCCACTTCGAGGTTGCATCTCTTTGGGGCTTTTCTCTGGGCAGGGATAGATGGGATATTGGGAAGGAATTGCTGGCTGGGAGGATGGGCAGGCCCTGGCACAGGGTGCCCAGAGAAGCTGTGGCTGCTCCTGGATCCCTGGAAGTGTCCAAGGCCAGGTTGGAGCACTCTGGGTTGGTGGAAGGTGTCCCTGATTTCAGTTTGTTCTTTTTGGGAGGCAAAGGATCCCCCAGCCCGGGCTCCTCTCAGAGGTGCAGAGTGAGTTGAGATGATTACACTCAGAATAAAAAGAGGGTGTTTTATAGATGATGTTTCTTACTGACATTCCTGCCTCTCTTTTCCACCAGGCAACCTGGATATCTGGGCTATTACTGTGGAGGAGAGAGCAAAACATGATCAGCAGTTCCACAGCCTGAAACCAACAGCTGGATTTATCACTGGTAAAGAAGGAGTTTTCTTTCCAATTCCATTTAATTAAATCTTAACTGGTGAGCTGAAATATGTGCAGAGTTTCCTGGGAGACATATGGGCATGAGAACTAAAAAAATTGATGAGATATTTCTCATTTTATATATCCCACTTTTCATGTGCCTTCTGATGTTTTCTGCCATTTTCCCTTCCCTATCCTGCTGGGAAGAGGGGATTCAGTGGGTGACTGAGTTCTGTCTGGGGTCAGCCCACCTAGGCCAAGATACTCCGAGATTAAAGTGTGATTAAACAAAGATGAACTGAAGTGCAGTCTGGTCTAGGAGCTCTCTGGGTAAAGCAGTGGGATGAGCTCTGCAGGAGATCTGAAATGCACTGGGAAGCAAAGCTGCAAGTCAGGGAGTTGCCCTGATCCTGCTGAATTTTCATGGGCACCACTAATTACTTTGGTGTCAAAGGCAGCAGGAGGCCTCCTCTTTGCTTTCTTGCTGCATTTGATTTGCTTTAGTGCTGTGTAAATGAGCAGCACAGTCACAGAGGGTGGGGCTGGGAGGGACCTCCAAGCCCACCCAGTGCCACCCTGCCATGGGCAGGGACACCTTCCACCAGCCCAGGGTGCTCCAAGCCCTGTCCAGCCTGGCCTGGGACACTTCGCAGGATCCAGGGGCAGCCACAGCTTCTCTGGGATTCAGCCTGTGCCAGGGCCTGCCCACCCTCCCAGCCAGCAATTCCTTCCCAATATCTCACCTAAATTTCCCCTCTTTCACTTTGAATCCCTCACTCCTTGTCCTGTCACTGCAGTTCCTGATCCAGAGTCCTGCTCTGGCTTCCTTGTGGGCCCCTCAGACACTGGGGACACATTTTTAGTTCAGTTTTGCAGCTGATCTGCAGAAAGATTATGAAGATACATTTCAGTGTAACTGCTCTGGTTCCACTTCGAGGTTGCATCTCTTTGGGGCTTTTCTCTGGGCAGGGTTAGATGGGATACTGGGAAGGAATTGCTGGCTGGGAGGATGGGCAGGCCCTGGCACAGGGTGCCCAGAGAAGCTGTGGCTGCTCCTGATCCCTGGAAGTGTCCAAGGCCAGGTTGGAGCACTCTGGGTTGGTGGAAGGTGTCCCTGATTTCAGTTTGTTCTTTTTGGGAGGCAAAGGATCCCCCAGCCCGGGCTCCTCTCAGAGGTGCAGAGTGAGTTGAGATGATTACACTCAGAATAAAAAGAGGGTGTTTTATAGATGATGTTTCTTACTGACATTCCTGCCTCTCTTTTCCACCAGGCAACCTGGATATCTGGGCTATTACTGTGGAGGAGAGAGCAAAACATGATCAGCAGTTCCACAGCCTGAAACCAACAGCTGGATTTATCACTGGTAAAGAAGGAGTTTTCTTTCCAATTCCATTTAATTAAATCTTAACTGGTGAGCTGAAATATGTGCAGAGTTTCCTGGGAGACATATGGGCATGAGAACTAAAAAAATTGATGAGATATTTCTCATTTTATATATCCCACTTTTCATGTGCCTTCTGATGTTTTCTGCCATTTTCCCTTCCCTATCCTGCTGGGAAGAGGGGATTCAGTGGGTGACTGAGTTCTGTCTGGGGTCAGCCCACCTAGGCCAAGATACTCCGAGATTAAAGTGTGATTAAACAAAGATGAACTGAAGTGCAGTCTGGTCTAGGAGCTCTCTGGGTAAAGCAGTGGGATGAGCTCTGCAGGAGATCTGAAATGCACTGGGAAGCAAAGCTGCAAGTCAGGGAGTTGCCCTGATCCTGCTGAATTTTCATGGGCACCACTAATTACTTTGGTGTCAAAGGCAGCAGGAGGCCTCCTCTTTGCTTTCTTGCTGCATTTGATTTGCTTTAGTGCTGTGTAAATGAGCAGCACAGTCACAGAGGGTGGGGCTGGGAGGGACCTCCAAGCCCACCCAGTGCCACCCCTGCCATGGGCAGGGACACCTTCCACCAGCCCAGGGTGCTCCAAGCCCTGTCCAACCTGGCCTGGGACACTTCCAGAGGATCCAGGGGCAGCCACAGCTTCTCTGGGCAACCTGTGCCAGGGCCTGCCCACCCTGCCAGCCAGGAATTCCTTCCCAATATCCCATCTCTCCCTGCCCTCTGGCAGTGGGAGCCATTCCCCTTGTCCTGTCCCTCCAGCCCTTGTCCAACCTCCCTCTCCAGTGATGCTCAGTTGAAATTAAAGATACAGAAGGGTGTTGCTTTCCTGCTCTCTGATCCATCAAGATTTCCAGAGTGGGAAATCAGGATCACATCCTCAGGGGAGTTTCCTCACATCCACCCTCACCTGGGTGTCCAACTGCACGATTTTTGTTCCTGGCCCATGACAGATATGGTACAAAATCCTACCAGGTCGATTGACCTCCTTTGATGATTTCTCCTGTTTCTGATCTGTTTGCAACTTTCCTTTACAGGCCACGGCATGCCCCAGTGCCCAATCCCTCAGTAATTGTTTTGCTATCCATACTTTCCATTGGTAGTTGGGAAATGGCTTTGAAATACAGCATAACTTACTTTGTTACCGGCCTATCACGTTATTTGATTTTACTTACCACTTGATTTGGTTTGTGCTGTCTGACTGGCACTGCACTTCCAAAGAATCCAGGCTAGAGTTTATGTTGGTACAGACTTCCCTGGAAGGAGAACTTTCCTTGTTTTCACAAGGCATCTGATTCCACTCGAGCCTTTAACCCGGACTGGGAGCCAGGAGTTGCCCTAAATGCCCATTCCCAGGTGACTCTGTGTGGTGCTGCCTGTTGGAAATACGTGGTGGGTTTACAAATCCCCAAATATGTTTCAGTCTCACACTCTGATATGTAGGTGTGGCATTAACTATTTATGGTTTTCCTGTTGCTCCTCTTACAGATATTTTTGACTCCTGATCTCCCCTCCCCTTTTGCCAGGTATTTATAGATGTCCTATTTATTTTCCAGGTGATCAAGCCAGGAACTTTTTTTTTCAGTCTGGGTTACCTCAGCCGGTGTTAGCACAGATATGGTGAGTATGGGATGGGGTGGGACAAGGGCAGCTGCAGCAGAGTGGTATTTACTGGGACAGACTGGGACAGGGACTGGGGGGGTGGGAATGGACCCAAATCCACTTGGGTTCCCCAGGGCTGGGGCCAGTGCTGTGCAATGTCTGTACTGATGGTCTGGATGAGGGGCCAAAGGCACCCTCAGCTCGTGGGTGACACAAACTGGGTGGGAGTGGGTGCTGCAGGGCAGGAGGGCTCTGCACAGGGATCTGGACAGGCTGGATCTGGGGAGGGACAGGCTGGATCTGGGGATGGACAGGCTGGATCTGGGGATGGACAGGCTGGATCTGGGGATGGACAGGCTGGATCTGGGGATGGACAGGCTGGATCTGGGGATGGACAGGCTGGATCTGGGGAGGGACAGGCTGGATCTGGGGAAGGACAGGCTGGATCTGGGGAGGGACAGGCTGGATCAGGGGATGGACAGGCTGGATCTGGGGAAGGACAGGCTGGATCTGGGGATGGACAGGCTGGATAAGGGGAGGGACAGGCTGAATCTGGAGAGGGACAGGCTGGATCTGGGGAGGGACAGGCTGGATAAGGGGAGGGACAGGCTGGATAAGGGGATGGACAGGCTGGATAAGGGGATGGACAGGCTGGATAAGGGGATGGACAGGCTGGATAAGGGGATGGACAGGCTGGATCCGGGGATGGACAGGCTGGATAAGGGGATGGACAGGCTGGATCTGGGAAGGGACAGGCCAGCACTGTGGGGGACAGCAAGGCCCAGTACTGGGTCCTGCCCTTGGGTCACACCAAACCCCTGGAACAGTCCAGGCTGGGGAAAGGGTGGTGGGAAAGCTGGAAAAGGCCCTGGGAGTGCTGGTGAGAGCAGCTGGACATGAGCCCAGCTGGGCCCAGGGCACCTGGTTTGGATCAGGAATAGCGTGGGCACAGCCCAGGGCAGGGATTGTCCCCTGTGCTGGCACTGCTGAGGGACCCCCAGGGCTGTGTCCAGTTCTGGAACCTCCTGGAAGAGACACTGAGGGGCTGGAGCGTGTGCAGGGAAGGGAAGGGAGCTGGGAAGGGGCTGGAGCAGCAGGAGGGGCTGAGGGAGCTGGGGGGGCTCAGCCTGGAGAAAAGGAGGCTCAGGGGGGACCTTCTGGCTCTGCAATCCCTGCCAGGAGGGGGGAGCCGGGGGGGGGTCGGGCTCTGCTCCCAGGGAACAGGGACAGGAGGAGAGGGAACGGCCTCCAGCTGTGCCAGGGGAGGCTCAGGTTGGCCAGGAGGAGGAATTTGTTGCTGGCAAGGGTGGTCAGGCCTTGGCAGGGGCTGCCCAGGGAGGTTTGGAGTGCCTGTGTCTGGGAGTGTCCCAGAGGTGTCTGGATGTGGCCCTTGGGGACGTGGATTGGGGGTGACTGTGGAGGTGCTGGGGTGGCACTGGGTGATCCTGGAGGGCTGTGCCAGCCCTGATGACTGTGGGGCTCTGTGGTACCACTGATCTCCCACGTGCTTTCCAAAGGCAGGGCTGCAGTGCTGGGCTGAGTGTTGTGGTGCCCAGCTCTGCCCCTGGCAGCAGGGACCTTTGCAGTTGGCATGTGTAAATGTGGCACTTTCAAACCCTCACTTCAGATGACTGAATCTTTCCAGCTTTATTGAAACTGCACCAATACAACTGCTGGGCACAGTGATCAGTGTTGAAAATGTTCTGATGGGAGGGCCTGGGCAAGGCTTGATTTGTTGCAGAGGCTCAGACTGGCAGGGACTGTCTCCAGTGGAGCTGGAGGCACAGCCTGCCAGCTGACAAGTGTCCCTCCTGCCTGGGCAGCTCAGCAGGTGAAGGTGTGCATGCTGTGTGTGGCACAGCACCAGTGTTTCCACACTGCCAGCTTCTCCTGCAGCACTGGAGGTGTTTCTGCTCCACACTGACCTGCCAGACTCAGAGCTGCTGGTGTAGTGCCAGGACACAGGGAATGGCTTCCCACTGCCAGAGGGCAGGGATAGATGGGATATTGGGAAGGAATTGCTGGCTGGGAGGGTGGGCAGGCCCTGGCACAGGTTGCCCAGAGAAGCTGTGGCTGCTCCTGGATCCCTGGAAGTGTCCAAGGAGAAATATTTTTCCCCTTTGGAAACCTGCATGCCCAGATTCACAGGGCTTTTAAATAAAGGGCTTCTTTTCTAATTATCTTCATCTTACAAATATCAAAGCTGGTCTGGTTTTCTTATTTGCTGAAGACTCAGTGAAAGTTCAGAAGTCCCTTTGGAACTTCTCTGGCCTCTGAATGAAACAAGGAAAGAAGTTCTGTATAAACAAGACATCCTTTCTCCAAAGATCTTCCAGAGGCATTGCCTTTACAGAGGTGTTCACAGAACTGAACAGTTGTAAATAGTCTGACTGAGGATCTCTTCCTCTCTGAATTATTCAGTTTTCCAGGCTCTTGAGAGGAAGGGAATCATTCCACTCCCTCTGGAGTTGTCATAGAGACAAGACCTGAACTTGCACATTTTTATTAATGAAGCTGAACTAAAACTTATTCAAGCTGCCTTTGTAAATCATAAAGCAGCATTTTAACATTCCTTTCTCTCTGTCTCTCTTGTTTTTTGAATCAACTCTGAATTAAGAGAAGTAAATGTTTAAGTCACAATCTGTGTACAGATCCAGGAGCACTTGAGAGGGGCAGTTCTGGACTAATAAGCCCAAAATGTCAGAGAGATCCGAGCTGCATAAAACTGCTTCTCCATCAGCATTTACTTCTGGGATAGGGGGTTTGGGGGTTGTAGATGGCAGAGATTGTTAGAGGGAGAGAAGGGGAGGTACAGGAGTCCTTGAGGAAGGAAAGTTGTTGTTCTGAGTTGGAGCAACTTGTAAAACTCCTGAATCAATTTTCTAATCCAAGAAATCACAGAATCCCAATCCCAGGAGGGTTTGGGTTGGAAGGGGCATTAAAGCCCACCCAGTGCCACCCCTGCCATGGGCAGGGACACCTTCCAGCAGCACAGGCTGCTCCAAGCCCTGTCCAGCCTGGCCTGGGACACTCCAGGGATGGGGAGCCCACATGGAAGTGTCTGTGTGTGTCTGTATGTTGTGTTTTGGAAGAGTTTTCCTGTTCTTAGTTATTCGACTTATTTTAAATAGTTGATTGTGATAAACTGATAAAAGCCTGGCTGTTGTTTCCTAAAGGATCACTTGGATCTGGATGGACACACACAGGAATATATCTGGAATATACCTGACAAATCTGTCATTTCTGCTGTTGATAAAAGCTTTTCTGAAGCTTTTCCAGTCCTTAAAAACAGAAGCTCCCTGGTTTTTAGCACTGAGAATTCCTGTGTCCCTTCTGCTCATTCCTTTAAGATAAAATAAGTCTCTGGCACCTCAGTGGAGCAGATGAGTGGGAGTATTATGGTCTGTGCTGACACCTTCTGCACTGATCTACCCTTTACCAGCCTTGGGCTCCTCCCAGCTGGTGATCAATTAAGAGGCCTCTAATTAGGCTTTGGGCTGGGCCTGGGAGGTAACTGTGCCTAAGCAGCCATAATCTGCAATTCTTTAGAACCACTAAAGAATGGGAATGGGGGCCTCCAAAAGCACCTTGTGGGTGTCCCATCCCTCTGGAATGAAAGGACTCCAATAATGCCACGGTTTGTCCAGGCACTTGGAGTTACTTATTTGTCCAGGGCAGAGCAAAGCCACTGGGCACTTCCCTGTTTCTGACACCTGCTTCCCTCCCACCCTTCCCCACCTGGTGTCCAGGTGGGAATTCTGGCAGTTGGAGCTTATCCCACCCGGATCCAGGGTGTGGCTGATGGCACAGCCCTCAGTTCCCCTCTCTGTTTGGGGCTGAGTTTTACAGCACAGCAGGGGTTGTGTGAGCCAGTATGGGAGTGCAGTGCTAAACAAATCCAGGCTGGGGAACTGCAGGGGGATTTCCTTCTTCTGACACCGGGCTGTTTTCGTGGAGAGCTGGTTTGTGTGTTAATTATGAGCATATTGGATGGGAGAACTGCACGTGTTCAGTTTCTGTGCCTCAGAAATGCAAAAATAATCAAGTTGTCTTTGCATTCTGCAGGAAAGGTGAGAGAAAGGAGCAGGGACAGATCCACAGGGGAAGGATTTGTCAGCCCCTGAGCCCTGGGATGGTGCTGAGCCCTTGTCATTAGAAACAAACTCGGGGCTGGTCTCTATAAAATCTGATAAATATTTAGTCAGGGTTTAATCCATTTACTGCCCTGCTCTGGATCCGGCCAGACCTTAAACCAAACCAATTTAAGGGCACCACACTATTCCAAATGTCCTTGGCAGCAGAGCAGTGGAATGAGGAGCTGTTTGCTGCATCCTGGTGATGATTGTTCTGCACAATCTGAGTCTGACCCCGAGTTCTGTGATTAGAAATGAAAATCTGTCCTATTTTTGCATGAAGATTTTGCCAGAAGGTGGTTCTTGTTAGGGTGTGAGTTCTGGGCTTTGCACAGAATCCTTTGCAGTGCAGCCTGTGCTGTAATTTCAGCAGGGAAGCTGGTGCTGTAAATGAGTGCACAGAAGGTCAGACGTTGAGTGAGGAGCTACTGATGGTTCTGTGAATTGGAGCTCAATGAAAGCAATGAACCTGGTGCACATCAAAGTGCCTGATCACTGGCCAGCTGGTGTTCCTCGTGCAGAATGCAGACACTTTCCCAGCAGGAAATTGGGCCTGGAGAGTGGAGGTTCCCACGGAGTGGTCTTTGCTCTTCCTGCATTGTCGTGGCCATGGGTGGAACCCACTGAGGGCCTCTGCCTGTGCTTGTTCTGGGAAAGGTTTATATCTTATAAATTATGAATTTCCAGGTGTAGAACCCACTGAGGTTGAACAGATAAGCTGATTATGTGACAGGCTGGGAGAGCTGGGGGGGGTTCACCTGGAGAAGAGAAGGATCCAGGGAGACCTGAGAGCCCCTTGCAGAGCCTAAAGGGGCTCCAGGAGAGCTGCAGAGGGACTGGGGACAAGGGATGGAGGGACAGGACACAGGGAATGGCTTCCAACTGCCAGAGGGCAGGGATAGATGGGATATTGGGAAGGAATTGCTGGCTGGGAGAGTGGGGGAAGCTGTGGCTGCCCCTGGATCCCTGGAAGTGTCCCAGGCCAGGTTGGACAGGGCTTGGAGCACCCTGGGCTGGTGGAAGGTGTCCCTGCCCATGGGATGATCTCTAAGGCCCCTCCCAACCCAAACCATTCCATGATTCACCATCTGTCAGGCACTGCTGCAGCACATACTTTTTAAGGATATAAATATTTGAGCCTTCAGTGTTGACAGTGTCCTCTCCAGACTTTCTGGAAGTGCTGCTCCCAGATTTCCATGGCTGTTACTCAGGCCCAGGACATCAGAACTGGTAGGTTAAGAACAGCTACAGCTCAGGCAGTGCTGTCTTAGGAGAGCTGGGAAGGTTGGGAGTGTCTCCAGTGCTGCTGGTGATCTAAACCAGAGATGGCCTTTGGAACCCCAGCTGGGATCTGCCTCTTTCAAGGTTTTGGAATTTTTTGGGAGTTGGAGTGTTTCCATTTTACCTGGCTGTCTCCTTGGATAAGCAGCTGTCAGTTCACTGTGGTACTTTCTGGTTAACTTTTCACACACTTGCATGAAAACTTTCTTGGGAGGGATTTGATCAGAAATAAAGCTCCAGTCCAGCCAGACTGTCCCTGACGTGTAAATATGTGCATGAACTTGAATTCTCCATTATCCCAGTACCAAAGGCTGTACTTAATTCTTCGAGCAGAGCAATAAGCATAATGTTTAAAGCTGAGTTCACAGCTGATTCCATTATTAACGTGCATTCACTCTGGGTTTCTCTGGTGTGCAGTGGCAGGAATTGACATTCTTCTTCCTGCTTCTCCCCCCAGGCTCCCACCCCTATTCCCTGCTGGGCTTGGTTTGCTTCACTAGCAGGGGAAGGAACAAAAAGCAGACTGTTTAAGTCAGACTCCTTCCCTTGAAAGCCTATTCAAGGCCCAGGCTCAATGTTTCATCTCGAGTGCTATTGTTTAATTGAAAACACATTTGCACACTCATGGATGGGATGAAGGGGGTGAAGCTCATGGATTTAAGGAGTGTTTTATTTTAAGTGTTGCTGAAGTACAGATCTGCAGACTCAGGGATTTGCTTTCTGTGCTGCTGCTTGAGGACGGTGCAGACTCACTGGTGTCATTTTGCAGAGTTTTTGTACAACTCCACTGGTCCCTCTCTCGATGCCTCATTTTAATTCCTTGAAGAGTTGAAAAACCACTTGAAAAATATTATCCACCCTAGGAAAGAAATCAAGGAGCTCTCAGCTTAAATAGTGTCTTGTTTCATGATCATTTTTAGCCTGGCACGATTATTTTGAGTGGGAATTAGTCAGAATCCCAGGATCCCTGAGGTTGGAAAAGCCCTCCCAGCCCATGGATCCCCCTGTGCCCCATCCCCACCCTGTCCCCCAGCCCAGAGCACTGAGTGCCACGGCCAGGCCTGCCTTGGACACCTCCAGGGCTGGGCACTCCAAACCTCCCTGGGCAGCCCCTGCCAAGGCCTGACCACCCTTGCCAGCAACAAATTCCTCCTCCTGGCCAACCTGAGCCTCCCCTGGCACAGCTGGAGGCCGTTCCCTCTCCTCCTGTCCCTGTTCCCTGGGAGCAGAGCCCGACCCCCCCAGCTCCCCCCTCCTGTCAGGGATTGCAGAGCCAGAAGGTCCCCCCTGAGCCTCCTTTTCTCCAGGCTGAGCCCCCCCAGCTCCCTCAGGCCCTCCTGCTGCTCCAGCCCCTTCCCAGCTCCGTCTCCTTCCTCAGCCTGGAATGTCCATCCCTGTGTGCTGCCGCTCGGGGCAGGTCCTGCAGTTCCTAATTGCAGGATGTGCTGTGTGTTGTGCAGGGCTCTAGCTGACATGAACAATGATGGCAGGATGGATCCCTTGGAGTTCTCCATAGCCATGAAGCTCATCAAGCTGAAGCTCCAGGGCTACCAGCTCCCCTCTGCTCTGCCCCCCGTCATGAAGCAGCCGCCGCTCGCCCTGCCCGGCGCCCCAGGATTTGGTAAGCTCCCTGCTCCTCCTCCTTGCCTTGCCTTGCAGCACCCCCTTTGAACTGGGCTGACAGGTTGCAGTTTCTGAAGGAAAATCTTAGGAAAAAGTGCTTCCAAAGGGCATGGACTCGAAGGCAGATGCTGCACGTGCCCCCCAAAATTGCACTGGGCTTTGAGCCCAGTAACGTGAGCTGAGGTCCTGCTTGCTGCAGGCCTGACACTGCTCCAGACAAAAGGTGGCTCAGCTAGCAGGGCTGGTGCGTCCCAGAGTGCTGGAGCTGAGATTCCAGCTTGGCCTTACGGCATCTCCAGCTTCAGCAAGATGAGCTCTGTTTTCCTTGAGTTCTTACAAGCACCTTCTGCTTTTATTTTAAGAATGCTCTGGCATGAGCTGCTGGTTCAGTCCTGGGAGTTAAGTGGTGCCAAAGTCACCACCACTTCAAGGAAGAGTAGGGAAATGGGATGGGGAGAGGAAGAGAAGTGAAGGTGAACCTCATGCTCGACATGCTGATGCACTCCTGTGTCCTGCAGTGACAGGTTCTTTACCTTTCTGGGTTAGTCATTGCTGTGGCTCAGGTTTATTGGTGCTTGAGAATCCCAGACTGGTTTGGGTTGGGAGGGACCTCAAAGCCCATCCAGTGTCACCCCTGCCATGGGCAGGGACACCTTCCACCAGCACAGGCTGCTCCAAGCCCCGTCCAACCTGGCCTGGGACACTTCCAGGGATCCAGGGGCAGCCATAGCTTCTCTGCCCAACCTGTGCCAGGGCCTGCCCACCCTCCCAGCCAGCAATTCCTTCCCAATCTCCCATCTAAATGTCCTAGGAAAAGGGAGCAGTGCCTCTGATAGCTGCCTGCAGCAATGGGGTTTGATCTGCTGCCACTCACACAAGTTTTACAGTCACAAATAAAACTGTAAGGAAACAGTGAAACTGGACAGAGCAAATACAGGTTTAAGTCAGAAAAGGCAGAATAAATTTAACCCCCCACAAAAATCAGCAAAATCTGTGATTCCCTTTCTCTCAGTCGCTGTACACTTGATCCCAACTGTTTGCTTGTTCTTCCCACTGGCTTGACTGGCCCTTTTTAACCTCCATGTTCTCCCTGTAACTGTGCTCACCACTAAACACTCATTACTGTGCTGCCCCCATTAGCTTTGCCCTGTTCCATCCCAACAATAGCTGGGATCGCTGATCCTGCAGCTCCTCGTGCAGGCTGAGGGCTCATTCCTGCCTGGAGCTCCCAGTGCTGCTCTTCCTTTGGTTCCGGGCAAACAATTCCTTTCTTAGCAAATGCTGGTGGATTTTTGGGGCAGTGCTGCACCCAGGCAGGTGTTGTTCCCTGTGCCCTGGGTGTGTGTGTTCCCACGGAGCTGCAGCCGTTGTCTCCCGTCTCAACCAGCACAACTCTCTCCTTTCTCGCCCGTAGGTCTCGGGGGCATTGCCAACATGCCCTCCCTCAGCTCTGTGGCCCCCATGGCATCCATGCCGGTGGTGGGGATGTCCCCACCGTTAGTGTCCTCAGTTCCTGCCGTCCCTCCCCTGGCTAACGGAGCTCCTGCTGTCATCCAGCCTCTGCCTGCTTTCGCTCACCCCGGTACGCTCAGCTCCGCCTCTGCTCTTAACCCTGACCACTGCCCCGAGCCCGAGGGCAGCACTGCTGGGATTAACCTTTCCAGGGGTGCCTCTGGGAAGGACTGGGCTGGGCTTGAGCCCAGTGGCTCTGGGAGAAGAGTTAAAGGAGTGTGGACATGTCCCACTGCAGGAGTCTGTCATGGTGAGAAATCAAGTGGTGCCAAGAAATTGGGCCTCTCCTGTCTCTTTATAACTGTTAAGTACTGCTGTTTGGGAGGGCTTTGAAATACTGGACTACATATCCTTTATCCCAGTGTAATTTGATATCAGCAGGGTGTGCATGAAACTGTGAAAGTAAACAAAGCACGAGGGAAGAGCCCTTGTGTTTCCTCCTGCTCTGTTGGCCTTCCTTTCCTTCATGTTGTTGAAGAGATCCCAGCAGACCCAGAGTGCCTGTGCCGTGTTAGGAACTGACTGAATGGCATGCAAGTTCTACAGCTTGAAGTGCCAGCACTAATTAATGCCTGCTTTCTCCTTCACAGCCACATTGCCAAAGAGTTCTTCCTTCAGCAGATCCGGCCCAGGAGCTCAGCTCAATGCAAAGCTGCAGAAGGCACAGTCCTTCGACGTGCCCAGGTGGGTCAGGGGGTGGGCACTGGGTGGAGGTGGGCATTTGGGTCCCCCACACTTGGAAAAAATCCCTTCTCTGTCACGAAGTTGTTTTCTGAAATAATGTTTCCTGCAGAAACCAATCCCTGCTGATTTCAGCACTTCACAGGATGCTGTGGTTTTACAGGGAATGCTCCAGGAGCAGGGCATCATGGAAGTACAATAATTAACTATTAACAGTGTTGACACTGTTTTCAAGCTCTTGAAAACTTAATTTTTAGAAAAGCCTTTGCTCCTGTAAACACAACATGTGTTGTGCAGTCCTGCACAGACACTCCTGGTAGTGTGACAACACAACACAACAACTAATGTAATATTTAAAATTGGCAACTCCAGGGTTATTTTTGAAAGCAAAATATTTAATAACTCTCATATTTTAAATGCACTCCACGTAATAGTTTCTTCTACGCTCTTCAAGTTCTGAGTGAAGAACCACCTTTTTAGATGTAGGGCTTTTAGATTATTTCAAGGCTCAGAGTCCCGATGGCCATCGGTGACCAGTGGTGACCAGTGGGCTCCATCCTGGGCCCAGTGGGATCTGATCCCCTCCCCAGTGACACGCACAGGGCTCAGGGGCACCCTCAGCAGGTTTAGGTGACCCCAGGCTGAGGCTGCAGGGACACCCCTGAAGGATGGACCGTCCAGAGGGACCTGCCCAGGCTGCAGCAGCGACCCTTGGGAATCTGCTCAGCTTTAACAGGGCTGAGTGCTGGTGCTGCCCCTGGACTGGGCACCCTGGGATCAATCCAGGCTGGGCATGAGCAGATGGAGCAGCCCTGGGAGAAGGCCCTGGGGGTGCTGGTGGGGCAGAGGCTGGACATGAACCAGCCCAGAACCCCCCGTGCCCTGGGCTGATCCCCCAGCGTGGGCAGCAGGGCAGGGGGGATTGTGCCCCTCTGAGACCCCCCTGCAGTGGAGGTTCATCTCATCCCACCCCTGCCATGGGCAGGGACACCTTCCACCAGCCCAGGGTGCTCCAAGCCCCATCCAACCTGGCCTGGGACACTCCCAGGGATCCAGGGGCAGCCACAGCTTCTCTGGGCACCCTGTGCCAGGGCCTGCCCACCCTCCCAGCCAGCAATTCCTTCCCAATACTGGGGAAAAGAACCTTTTCAGGTGTAAAACTTGATTTCTATGCAGCACTTTACCTCCTTGTGAGGCTGCTGAGGCCCTGGCACAGGTTGGGCAGAGAAGCTGTGGCTGCCCCTGGATCCCTGGAAGTGTCCCAGGCCAGGTTGGACGGGGCTTGGAGCACCCTGTGCTGGTGGAAGGTGTCTCTGCCCATGGCAGGGGTGGGATGGGATGATCTTTAAGGCCCCTCCCAACCCAACCCTTCTGATACTCTGTGACTGAAGCGCTGATGTTCCCACTGACACCCTGTGCTGTGGTTGCAGTGCTCCCCCCGTGGCAGAGTGGGCTGTCCCTCAGTCCTCACGGCTCAAGTACCGGCAGCTCTTCAACAGCCACGACAAAACCATGAGTGGACACTTGACAGGTACTGGAACAATTTTTGTTGTCTCCCTTTTTCAAGCTGTAAAAGGCCAATTTTAGTCTCACTGAGGCTGCTGTTCACATGGTAAGAGACTCATCAATATTTTTCTGTGTCACTCTCCCAAGTGCTTAATGGTCTTGTTTAGAGGTGAATATTTGTCATAGCTGGGATCATTCTATCACCATCTCTCCTTTATTTTCTGAAAAATAAATTGACCCTGGGAAATCATTCTGGAAAAGGGCACAGTGGGTTCTGGGAGAACTTGTGCAGCCATTTCCAGTGTTCAGTTCACCCACTGCTGGGAGCACCTGGCCAGTTCCAGGAAGGACCTGGGCTGGTTCCCTGGCTCAGCTTTCCCAGTTCCGGTGCATCTCTTTGTGTTTCGGAGCTCTTTGTTTTTAAATCTGAATGATTTGGTTGCCCAGAGAAGCTGTGGCTGCCCCTGGATCCCTGGAAGTGTCCAAGGCCAGGTTGGATGGGGCTTGGAGCACCCTGGGCTGGTGGAAGGTGTCCCTGCCCATGGCAGGGGTGGCACTGGGTGGGCTTTGAGGTCCCTCCCAACCCCAACCAGTCTGGGATTCCATGATAATTGGGCAGAAGGAAAGGATAATATATTTGTTATTTGGGGAGCCAAATAACATCTGTTATAACAAATAACAGATGCTGATCACATGTCAGCAGTGTTGCTTGTTTGTTTGTTAATATTTGTTTCATTTTCAGGTCCCCAAGCAAGAACAATCCTCATGCAGTCCAGTTTGCCCCAGGCTCAGCTGGCCACAATATGGTAAAAATAAATCCATTCATTTCCCTCCAAACACAAGCTGTTCTTAAACCTCTGCACTGGGTTCTGTGGGGTTTTCTCCATTTTCAGTCTTTGATAAATCACGTTCCTCGTTTTCATGTATTACTTTATAAAACAAAACCTGCACCTGTGTGCCTTTATTGATATTCACAGAAGCAGCAGGAGCATGTTCTGTGTGGTGCTCAGGTTGGGGTTCAGGGAGGGGTTTTTAGGCAGAGCAGATTTCAGCACCCTGTGCCTCCCCCATCCCTGGCCCCACGGGAGGCAGCACCAGTGAAACCTTTCCCTTTGCACAGCTTGTACAACAGGAAGCTTGACCCAAGCCACACTTCCTTGGGGCTTTCTCTGCCTTTTCCATGAGTTTGGAAGGGCTGATTTCCATGGGACTGGAGTTAGAGACGTTCCAATAAGGGATTTTAAAAGGATTTGTCTCAGCCTCTCTTTCTCCTTTCAACTTGTCGTTTGCTGAACTTTATTATATTCTTATTGCCACATGGGAAATTGTTCCTAATTAATTTCTCTCCTTTATGAGTTCTTTGCTTGCAAACCATTGGAGCTCACCCACCTGAACTGCACTTGTTCTCTTTTCAAAGCCCTGATAGTTTCGTTATATATTAAAAACCACTCTTCCTTCTCTGTTCCGTAACAAAGGGATAAAAATAAATCAGCCCAATCATCCAGCAGATGATTTTCCAAAAAATACTCGGCTTGTTGCCAGCCTTGAAGTAGATTGTGTGGACAGGGGTCAGCCCCCAGTGAACTCCAGGAGTTCTACACAGAGCTCATTCCATTCTGGCCACCCAAACTGCCAAGTCCATGGAGATAAGAGTGGATGTTACAGCTCCTGTTGTCCTAGGAGTGGCTCCCTTTCCTGGGCCAGTGGGGCTGCAGGTGCTGTTCTCTGGCAGAGCAGAAGGTTTCTCAGGCTGTGCTGGGGCTGAGCTCACTGGCTCAGACACACAGAGGCAAGTGCAGCCTCTCAGCTGCCCTGGGAGCTCCTAATGACACGTGGACCCAGACTGCTGGAATAGCTGATCACTTATTTCTTTGCACCCCAGATTTTCATTCTCCTGGCTCGTTCTTGCCTCCAGCCTGAGGAGTCAGTGACACAAGTTGGGGATCAAACGAGGCTGGAATTGTCTTCCAAATTTAAATCCCCATCAACAAAGTCCTGTGCCTCGGGACATCAAAATAATATATCCCTTCCTTGCCTTTGATTGTCACGTTACCATGGGAGATTTTCCTGCTTGATTAGAGTGCAGCAGGCTGGAGAAACAAATCCTGAGGTGGAAGGGACCCCCAGGGATCATCCAGTCCAACTCCTGCCCAGGACACCCCAACACTCCCCCCTGTCCCTCAGAGCGTTGCCCAAACGCTCCTGGAGCTCTGGCAGCCTTGGGGCCGTGCCCACTGCCCTGGGGAGCCTGGGCAGTGCCAACCACCCTCTGGGGGAAGAACCTTGTGCTGAGCTCCAAGCTGAGCCTGCCCTGGCACAGCTCCAGCCCTTCCCTGGGGGCTGTCCCTGGACAAAGTTCAGGCTGTTAATTTTGTCCAGTGCCACCTTAACACAAGCAAAAGCATTTTGTGCCTGGGCTGGAGCTCTGGTTTGGGGTGTTACTCCATAACTTTTATTATGTGCATAATGCCAGAGTGGTTTTGTGCTTGTCAGGACTGGAACATTGATGGCTTGGATTTCAGTGCCAGTGGGAACTCTGGAATGTGAGGTGGGAGCCTCCAGGGAAGAGGGAAACCAAACCAAAAAGTTCTGCCGAACATCTGAGCTGGTTCTTTTCTGGGTGATGCTGGGCAGTGGATGTTCACAAGGTGTTCAGGAAAACTCCCCTGGTTCATGTCCCTCCTCCAGCACATGGTCCAGGCAGCGCTCAGAGCAGGAGGAGGAGCAGCATGGCTACAAGGCTGGTTTCAAGGCACACATCCATGAGAAGTGTGGGAAGTAGGGGAGCATTTGGGTTTCGCTTTTCATTTGTTTTGAAAAAAAAGTAGCGTGGAAAAAGTGGAAAAAAATGAATTAATTTGGAACTGACTGTGTGAAAATGATGCTTTTGAACAGTGATTTTTAATATTTACTCAATTGCCTTACTTTGCCCCTTCCCTTCAAAAGGAATCTTTCTGATATCGACCAGGATGGGAAGCTGACAGCTGAGGAGTTTATTCTGGCTATGCACCTCATTGATGTAGCTATGTCTGGGCAGCCACTGCCCCCTGCACTGCCTCCAGAGTATATCCCACCTTCCTTTAGGTAACACTTGGGGATCTCACTCCTGAATTTGTATTCCATTTGGGAAAGCTGTCCTGTGAGTGTAAATTAGCACAGCAGACTGAGCAGTGACCCCTGCCCTTCTTGTCCTGTCAGAACAGTTTGGGGGATGCTTTATGCTGACACACCTGCCACAGCTTGCTTAGTCTGGCCATAGAAATCCAAAGCTTATAGTTCCTTACAGCAAATGGAACATATTGGAACTCCAGACACGTTATGGATCTACAGTTTACCCCCTTGGTACAGCTGCATCTGTGACAACTGCGGTCACTCATCACTCCTTTCTCTATTTCACTTTTATTTTGGTGGAGAAATGGGTGGGAAGACAGTCCATTATAATGGAAATAGATGTTGGCATGCTGCACTCTTCAGGTATCCTCCTGGAGATTCCCATTGTTTTGTGTATTCCACCTGGGACCTTGCTTTTGGCCTGACTGTACTGAGCTCTTCCTCTGTCTCTGCTGCTTGTGCTGTAGCTTAAAAACCAGCTCCAGACTGGGCACCTGTGAGAGATTTTGGGGACAGGGCTGGACATATTGGGAAGTTTCATGGAGAACTTGGAATGGGGCTTCTCAGGTCACCAGGGAGAGCTGGTGGGAGTCTGGGGAATGATGTCAGTCCTAAGGGGATGCCTGAGTAAAACCCTCTGAAAGAACATTAAACATCGTGAAATGTTACACCAGTGCATTGAATTTGGTTTCCTCATTAATCCTGAGTAATTTGGGCAGGCTCAGGTTGTCCTAAGCACCTGAAATCCCTGTTTTCTTGGCAGAAGAATCCGCTCTGGCAGTGGGATATCTGCTGCCAGCTCAGTGTCTGTAGACCAAAGGTTACCAGAAGAACCAGCATTAGAGGAAGAGCAGCAGCAACTGGAAAAGAAATTACCAGGTGAGCAGGTGAAAAGAGGGATATTTTGTGTTCCCAGAGGGATGTTTCATGTTCCCAGAGGGATGTTTCGTGTTCCCAGAGGGATATTTCGTGTTCCCAGAGGGATGTTCCGTGTTCCCAGAGGGATGTTTCGTGTTCCCAGAGGGATGTTCCGTGTTCCCAGAGGGATGTTTCGTGTTCCCAGAGGGATGTTCCCGTGTTCCCCCTGCTGGGGGGTTGCACAGCCTGCCTGAGCAGTTGGTGATGTGTGAGAGGCATCACCAAGACACTGCTGGGTCCGGCTCGTTCCTGATCCTTTGTGCTGGGACTCTGGAGGTGGGCACAGCCTCCAGGCTGCTGCTCTCCTGCACTCCCACGGGCAGCACTTTGCACCCCTCTCACAGGATTGCCAGGAGAACTCCTTGCTGCCTTCATCCTCTGGGTGGGGGCTCTGTGGAAGATCCCAGCATTCCCACAGAGCCCCGATTCCTCACAGCCTGTGTAACAGTGGGAGGGCTGTCCAAGTTTCAGCAGCTCTGGGAAAGGAACAAAAGGGAGAGAAAAGGGAACTGGCAACAGGAAAGGGGGACAGACTTGAAAAGACAAGAATTCAGCTGGTTCAGCAGCTGTTGGGCTGATGTGTCCAACAGTGTGTGCACACCTGGGAGGAAATAGGAGCTGTCTCTTGCCTTGCATCCCAAAAATGTCCATGTTGGGCATGCAGGGAGAGAAATGTGGACTGTGGGGGGTAGGAATGGGACACAGAGGGTATGGAAAGGAACAGAAGGTGAAGTGGGAAGAATGATATGGAGGGAGGACAATCCCTGGTGCTGCAGAGGGATGTCAGGGAACCTGTGCTGGACCAGAGGTCACTTTTAGGGCAGCGGTGAGGATGTGGATGTGCAGGAATCCAGATTCCCTGGGCTCAGCTGCTCCAGAACTTAAGCCATTTCTTTCCTGGCAGTAATGAGTGGTCTGGGGAGAATATCAAGTTTAAAGTCATTGTGGTGGTTTGCATGCTGGCTTTTTGATGATGTCACCAGCTGAATCCTTGGCCTTGCTCTGATGGAAGTGCTGGCTCTGGGGCTGCTGCAGTAATCCACTGGTCCTGTGTCCTCCCAGAGGATCACCTGGAGATTTTTTGGCCTAAATCACCCCCACTTGTTGGACTTGCAAACCTGGAAGGAAGCCTGAGGAGCGGGGATGGAACCCCACCCCTTGTTTTCCTGAGGCTGTGGGTTTGAGGGGAGCAGCAGTGTAAATGCTGACCCCAGAATGACCCTTAGGGCTCCATGATCCACGTTACCCTCCCTGACCTGCTGCTGCTGGGAGGTTGTTCCCCCTGGGCTCGGCACACACGGGCTGATGTGAGCCAGTGACAGATCCCTGCCCCTCTCTGTGCTTTCCACCCCCAACAGTCACGTTCGAGGACAAGAAGCGGGAGAACTTCGAGCGGGGGAACCTGGAGCTGGAGAAGCGGCGCCAGGCGCTCCTGGAGCAGCAGCGCAAGGAGCAGGAGCGGCTGGCACAGCTGGAGCGGCAGGAGCAGGAGAGGAAGGAGCGGGAGCGGCAGGAGCAGGAGCGCAAGAGGCAGCTGGAGCTGGAGAAGCAGCTGGAGAAACAGCGGGAGCTGGAGCGGCAGAGGGAGGAGGAGAGGAGGAAGGAAATCGAGAGGAGGGAGGTGTGTGGAGCACAGGGGGCCGTGTCCTGGGCACAGGGGTGCTGAGAGCACAGGGCCTGGGCTGGCACTGGCACTGAGCAACACTGGGAACAGGAACACACATCTCGGGGGGTTGGAGGGAGGAAGGGTCAGCAATGCCTTCATTTTTCCTGTGGAGTGAACGGGGGAGACGTTTCGATGTAGGACAGTGCGCTCCCGACCTCTGACTTCTTTAAAAATTATGATTATTGTTATTTGATATAAAGAGATGCTTGAATGAATGAAGAAAAGCCTATGGTGTTCATGATTTCTGAGGGATGAGGGAATTTTGTAAGATCCCAGAACGGTTTGGATTGGAAGGGACCTTCAGTGTCATCCAGTCCCTACCCCTGCCAAGGGCAAGGACACCTTCCACTAGCCCAGGCTGCTCCCTCCAACCTGGCCTTTGATTTGTCAGAGGAAACACACCCTGGGTAACTTAAAAAGCTCTCGTTTTCTCCCACTGCCAAACAGTGATGAGTTCAGTGCAGAGCACTTGGCTATTCGTTGCAAAGCTGCAGGATGTCCAGGGGTGCAGGTTGGAGAGGGATTTGATACTTTTTCTGGAGAGTTTTCAAAGCCTCAATATGAAACAAGTTGGTAAATCAGAAAACTGGATCTGGAGAAACATGAAAATGAGATTCTCTCTTTAGTCTCCTCTGCTGTGCAGGAGAGCCCCATCTCAGTGAGCATTCAAAGCACTGAGCAATTTGTGTGCTTCGAGGCACAAGAGCAGCCTAGGAGTGTGTTTTTATTAATGCTGTAATCGCCCGTTAATTATATGAATTATAACAGCAATTACACGTGTTTAGCAATTATATCTATTTATTTTAAATTTACTTTTCAGTTATGTATCCTACATTTTATTGTGTGTAATTGTGTAAATGATCCACGTCCCTGTTTGTGTTTGGCTTTGGCCTGTCCCTGCCTGCCCAGGCTGCCAAGCGGGAGCTGGAGAGGCAGCGGCAGCTGGAGTGGGAGCGCAACCGTCGGCAGGAGCTGCTCAACCAGAGGAACAAGGAGCAGGAGGACATCGTTGTCCTGAAGGCAAAGAAGAAAACCTTGGAATTCGAGCTGGAGGCTCTGGTAAGTGATGGATCCCCAGGTCAAACATGCAGCGTGGCAGTGGCTGTGTGACGGTGACTGTGCCACGGCCGGGTTTATTTGCCAGGATTTCGCTTGTAGATTTGAAGTAAAAGTACTTTTTAGGTCCCTGACTTGCCTGACAAAACATTCAGGTAAAAATAAAACCAGAGATCCTTTTCTTTCCTTTTCAAGAACGACAAAAGGAACCAGCTGGAGGGAAAGCTTCAGGATATCAGGTGTCGGCTGTCGACCCAGAGACAAGAAATTGAAAGTACAAACAAATCCAGAGAGCTCAGAATTGCAGAAATCACCCATTTGCAGCAGCAGCTACAGGTGAGCAAACCTCCTCTAATTTTATTCTTAGCCTTGAATTTTGGCTTCCTCAGCTGCATTGATATCCTGAGCAAACCTGCCCCAGCATGGGGTGTGCTGTTCCTTGCCCTGAAAAAAATCACTGTAGATAGTTTGTCATTCCTGGAAACCAGTGTTCTTCAGACACATCTAGGAATTGTGCCTACACTAGAGGCTGTGTCTGTCACTTCATCCTCCTGGAATCCCGCTGTGGGGAGCAGGAAGGAAGTTGTTTGGCTGCAGGTGTTTGGGAGGCTGAGGAGAAGGGAGTTTTATGGCGTGGATTTTGCTGGCGGTGGTTGCAGTTTTGTGTGCTGGGAGAAAGACTTGACTTCAGTGAAATGGCTTGTTGATGATGGATTATTAATTGTGGCATAATGAACTTTCAAAGCTGCAGTTCCCAGTGAAGCCAGTTAGTTCAGGAACTAGCCCTGGCATTGTCCTTTCCTGCTGCTCCATCTGAAATTCTCTGTCAAATGGAAGTAGAACTGCATGAGTGCCTGATTTTAGGGAGAGAAAGTGCTTTGGGGTTTGTGAAGGTCCTCTAGGGGTTGTAGGATTTCATTTAGGGACTTTTCTCTTTATTACATATTTCATATTGCTTGAAATTAATTCTTGGCCTGTCATGGGGGGTCTCAGTGTATTTCTGCCTCTACAAAGAGAATCTCACCCTTAGCTTAGGAGGGCTCAGGTGTAAAACCTGACTTAAACCCCAATCCTACTGCTCCATTGCAGCCTCACTCTTGCCTTCCCTGGCAGCTCTTCTGGTGGATCTTTGGGTTTGGGGTGGTTTTGCAGCAATAGCTGTGGCTCTGTGTTAATACCTTCCCTCAGGTGCTCATTGATCTCCACCACTGATATTTCAGGCAGTGTCACATGAGGTGTTTTTGTCCCAGAACTGTCACTGCGTAGGAGAAAAGGCCAGATTTTATCTGGAGAGAACCTAAAAGCTTTTTCCTGAAAAAAACACCATTATTTTTTCAAATATCCTGTCAGTCTTTCTGTCTCATCTGTAGAGGACAGACTAAATCAGTGAGCTTTAGAAAAGGACATTTAATCATCCCATCTCTCCCATAGGTTAAAAAGTCAGCACTGGCATTATCTCTGCAGGCTGGTGCACCTTCCCCTGGAAAGAGTTTAGTTTAAAACACTTGAAACTCCCTGTGGAAAGATGAGTCAATTCGAAGGAGTAATTATTCCTCAACCTATTAATTAGTTTCAAGATGGTGTTTCATTAAGCTTGTGACAGAAACTGTGCACCACCTAATCCTGGGTGATGGGAGTTTGTGCTGGTTACCTGGATCTGTCTGGTCAAGTGGCATTTCCAGGGATGTTCAGAAGGATCCTCCCTTCCAAGCCCCTGACCTGGGACTTGCTTAGTACCTGCAGGGACCATTTGCCTCCTTGATGAATCCTTTGGCTCCCAAGGAATTGGCAGAGAACTTTGCCTTGTTCAAGGGGCAGGAGCTGGGATTTGATTTCACTGCCATGTGGGACATTACTCAGTTCTTGGACATTTCTTGTTGCATGAAACTTCAGAGTTAGTGATGCCATTGATGTCTCTCATCTGTTTCTCCAGTACAAGGGAAGGATGTGGAAAACCATCTGGTGGATGTTCTTGGATAGGTTCTTATTCCATGGTTGTCTGGGGTTTCAGGAAGCAGAATTTGACCTCCATGATCCCTTGGCATTCTCTGTCCTTACACACTCTCCAAACTATTCGGTGTGTTGAGTAATCTGGAGTTTGGAAGCGTTCTGGCCTTTAAAACAAAACACTGAGGTGGTGATCTCATTCCACCCTGAAATGCTGTCCTGGGGTACTTTCTGTGCTTGCAGCATTGTTTCTGTAAATGCTGTTTTGTTCTGACACCCATCCTGCTGTCTGGTTGATCTGCAGGGTTCTCAGTCGCAGACACACGGGCTGGTTGGGTTGGAAGGGACCTCAGAGGTGCCCTGGGCAGTGCAGCTGGACAGTGAGTGCCACGTGTGGCTCCAGCACTCAGCTCTGCCTTAGCTCATTTTGGCTCCTTTGTGGATTCATGCAGTCCTTGACTCTGCTCTGCTGTCTCGGGGTATTTGCTGGAACAGAAGGAGATTACAGGAGTCTGCAGTCGTTGCATAATCGTCAGATGTGAGCTGGGAACTGCAGAGCCCAGTCAAGGCCTGGCAGGAGGAAAGTGGGACAATCTGGAGCTGTGTCAGTGCAGCCAATCCCGTGGGCCTGGAACAAAAACTACAGCTTTCCATGGAACTCATGACTTGGGTTGGGAGGGACCTCAGAGCCCACCCAGTGCCACCCCTGCCCTGGGCAGGGACACCTTCCACCAGCCCAGGCTGCTCCAAGCCCTGTCCAACCTGGCCTGGGACACTTCCAGGGATGGGGAGTCCTCAACCTCTCTGGGACTCAGTCTGGCATTGAGCAGTCAGGTGACATTTGTTCTTAGGGTGGTGTGATGTCATCTGCAATCCCTCCTGACAGATTGAACCTGTCAGCTGGCTGAGGCCTCAGAAGCCTGCAATTCCAGGCAGCTGCTCCAAGGAATTGCTCTGTTTGTCTGAACGTTGGGATGTCCAGACCCAGGGGCCTTTGGTAAAATAAGCTGTTTCACCTCCTGCTGCTGTGACATGTTTTGAAGTTGGAGGTCAAGGCTTCTGAAAGGTGTGTGAAGCAGCTCTTCATCCTCCAGAAAGAGCAAGGACTCTTTACGAAACATAAATATAAATGTGTATATATATATATGACCCACCAAAGGAGGAATTTCTCATCTGCAGGGACCCCTGTAACATATCAGTTCACAGTCTTACAACTCTGTACTGAGTATGAGGAAGATCATAATCCCCTTCCACAAGCACCAAGTCCAGAGATTGAGGACTCAAGGATTCTCATGCCACAGAGCTCACGTTTCATGGCTTTTGGCCAGAATATATTCCTTTAGAAGGAAAGTCTTTATTTTCTCTTCTTCAGATAAAATGTAAATATTTGTCTTTCTATTCCTGATCAAAGTTGTTATTCATTAACAACATTATTAACGTATTCATTCACAAACACAATTGGAGGTTGTAACTGGGGGGTCAGGCTCTGCTCCCAGGGAACAGGGACAGGAGGAGAGGGAACGGCCTCCAGCTGTGCCAGGGGAGGCTCAGGTTGGCCAGGAGGAGGAATTTGTTGCTGGCAAGGGTGGTGAGGCCTTGGCAGGGGCTGCCCAGGGAGGTTTGGAGTGCCCAGCCCTGGAGGTGTCCAAGGCAGGCCTGGCCGTGGCACTCAGTGCTCTGGGCTGGGGACAAGTTGGGGATGGGGCACAGGGGGATCCAGGGGCTGGGAGGGCTTTTCCAGCCTCAGGGATTCTGGGATTCATTTATTAAAATGAGAATAAAACATTTAGGAAGTGCTTGTTTGAACCTTTCCTGAAATTTGTCCTTGTCTTTTTGCCCTCCATTTCGGGTAATCCCAAGCCAAGTTCCATATTCAAGGAGAATCAATTGGATTTGATACACTCAGTCCTTTGTATTGGCAGAGAACCATGTCCAGTGGGAATATCACACAGACAGCACTGGGAAGGAGCAATAGAACATCAGTTAGTGAGGGAGGAGGGGCAGGAGAAATGCAGTGAGGGGTGCTGTGGCTGAAGTGACCCCTCACTCACCCTGGGCCTGTCTCTGTTCTCGTTTTCCCTGTCCTGGATCCAGGAGTCTCAGCAGATGCTGGGGAGGTTGATCCCAGAAAAGCAGCTGCTCAATGATCAGCTCAAGCAAGTCCAGCAGAACAGTTTGCACAGTGAGTAGATTTTTGGGTGTGTCTCACCTCGGGTAGGACACATTCCCTCCTTCCAGTGTCCTCTGGAGTTGCTTTCCGTGGGTTGCAAGCTCCATATTGAAAAACGTTGCTTTCTATGACCTGCTGGGCTCCATACAGGAAATAATTGTTTGCCAATGTGTCTGAAACCAGGAGATTCTCTTCTTACCATCAAGAGAGCCCTGGAAGCCAAGGAACTGGCACGGCAGCAGCTCCGGGACCAGCTGGATGAAGTGGAGAAAGAAACCAGATCCAAACTGCAGGAGATCGATATTTTCAATAATCAGCTGAAGGTAACCCAGGACTCATTAATAACCCTTCCTTCTAAGTGTTCAGTGAATCATTCTCTAACTTGGTCGTGGAAAAAAGTAACTGAAGTGGTTGATTCAGATGGTCAGGTTTGGGAACATTCCCAAATCTGTCTTTTTGGGGTTTGATTTGGCTTTTATTTTATTTTTAAGAAAATGCTACTTAGCTTTCCAACTCAAGAGTTTGAATCACCCCAATCTGCAGAATCCCTTCAGGGATAAATTTGAGCTCTGACTCTGATTGCAAATCTGAAATTGCCCCTTCCTGTGCTTTGGCATCCAAGGAGTGCGAGGCTCTCGTGGGTCCAACCTGCTGGAATCAGGAGTTCAAACTGCAATCTTGAATAAAAGAGCCTTGATTTCCTCCTGCCACCAGCATTTCCCTGCTGTTCATTCTTTCCTGCTGTCCCTGAGTGTGGGTGTCTGGGGTTGTGGCTTCCTGCTTTGTTGCTCAGTCTGTTGTGAGACCTGTGTGGGTTTTGGGTATTTCTGTTCTTCAGAGAGAAGGTACAAATCAGTCTTTAGTGACAAGGCTCTAATAACACCTATTTATTCAATAAATATTCCAATGTTAAAGTACTTATCTGCCAGTTCCCCTGATGGGTTCTCCTGAGAGCTGAGCAAAAAAAAAACCCAGTTTCCTGCAAGGTGGCAGAAGCTGTGCTGTAAGTGCTCAGAAGGAAAATCACTGCAGTAGAGACATTAATGGTTCTGGATTGTTTTGGGATTAAATCTGAAGCTTTAGAATGGAAGATGAGTTTGAAGTGAAGCAACAAATAGCTCGTTTAATATTAAAGTTATTAATAACTGTAGAAAAATTAAAAGCTGACTCACTGAGGGAGGAAGGAAAGGGAGAAGCTCTGCAGAGTGAGACACAACACAAAATAGGCACAATTTACACCAAAAGAAAATAGAATGGAAACCTTACTTAATGAATCCTCCAGGTTCAAACCTCGCCTAATTTCTCTTTATATGTGGGTTTGGATATGTTGTGCTTTTTAGGTGTTATTTTTTTAATGGAGTCCTTCCAAAGTGTTTTGCAGATCAATAAGACCAAAGGATATTCATGCTAAAATTACGATCAATATTTGATCATAAATCACCCAAACAGAATAAATGGGCAGAGGGAAGAACACTCTTAGTACTGTGACAGTAGCAATGAAAAACCAACCCCAAACCAACCAAAATTCAGTCTAAGGGTTCAACTTATCAAATAACAAGTGAATGATAATTAAATATTGGAATTGTCTATTGAACAAAGATTTATCAGCTTGTCTGCCAAGACTGGTTTGGGTTGAGAAGGACCTTAAAGCTCACCCAGTGCCACCCCTGCCATGGGCAGGGACACCTTCCACCAGTCCAGGGTGCTCCAAGCCCCGTCCAACCTGGCCTGGGACACTTCCAGGGATCCAGGAGCAGCGACAGCTTCTCTGCCCAACCTGTGCCAGGGCCTGCCCACCCTCCCAGCCAGCAATTCCTTCCCAATATCCCATCTATCCCTGCCCTCCTGGCAGCTTGAGGCTTGTCCCCAAGGATCAAAGGATAATTTCCCCTGCCATGGAGAAGTGAGGGGTTTATTGCTGGTGTGTGGTGCTGCCCAGGGGAGGACAAGCAATAATTTGCTGCTGCTGAAATGTGTTGGTTTGCCAGGACTGTTTGCTGGGTGCCTGGAGGGGGCAGTGAGCCAGCAGAGCAGAGCTGTGCTGCTGCTCCCAGGGGTGCTGTGCAGTGTGCCAGGAGCCGTGGGTGCTGTGGGTGCTGTGCACAGTCCCGTGTGTGAGTGTGAGGAGCTGTGGGTGTGTGGGTGCTGTGCAGTGTGCCAGTCCTGTGTGTGTGTGGGTGTGAGCTGTGGGTGCTGTGTGTGAGTGTGAGGAGCTGTGGGTGCTGTGGAGTGTGCCAGGAGCTGTGGGTGCTGTGGGTGTGTGCCAGGAGCTGTGGGTGCTGTGTGTGAGTGTGAGGAGCTGTGGTGCTGTGTGAGGAACTGTGGGAGCTGTGTGTGTGTGGGTGCTGTGCAGTGTGCCAGTCCCGTGTGTGAGTGTGAGGAGCTGTGTGTGTGTGGGTGCTGTGCACTGTGCCAGTCCCGTGTGTGAGTGTGAGGAACTGTGGGTGCTGTGCACTGTGCCAGTCCCATGTGTGAGTGTGAGGAGCACAGTCCTGCTCTGGGTGCCTCTGACTGAGCATTTCTCTCTTCCAGTCCCTGGCAGTGGAGGAGGCAATGCTGCAGTGCCTGGTTCTGCTCCTGGGCTGTGTCCACTCCTTGCACTCCTTCCCAAAGGTCTCCAGGCCCTGCCCAGGCAGGACCCAGCTCCCTCTGAGGGAGGATCCTCCTCCAGTTTTGTGCTTCACGTGACAGATGAGTGTGCAGTGTTGCCCAAGAGCTGCCAGCACCAGGGCAAACCAGAGAGAAGGGTTCATGCATTGATTTCATCCAATCTCTGTGCCCAGATGAGCAGTGGGCCTTGAATGGCCACTTGGGAGAGGGATTAGTGAGCCATTTTTACCCTTTGCTGATCTGGAACGTCAGGATTTTAAGTCAGTTCCTTGCTTTGGCCGTGATGTTCAAGCACTTGGATGTGAAGTGTTCCCACACAGCACTGTCATTTGTGGTTCCAGTAGGAGAGAGGGCAACATCCTTGCTTTCTCCAATCCCCCAGAGCTATAGGGTGGGGAAGAGGGAGGAACTGTGTCTGCCAAGGCCAAAGCAGATGCTTTGGGATCTGGGAAAAGGACAGGAAGGGATTGGTGTGGAAAAGCTTCAGTGAGCACAGAACTGCAGGGCCCTTTCCTCTGGGATCAAATGCTCTGCTTGGCTCAAGGGGAGAAGATTTGATGGAATCCTTGTACTGTAATCCCTGAAGGATCCCAGGTTATGTTGCCTTCCTGTCAAAAAGGCAAAATCTTGGCTCAAACATTTGTAGCACTGAGGTTTTTGTGGCAATGACTTGTCTGCATATAGTGAATATTGCTCTGCTTTAATTCAAACCCAATATCCTGACTGTGGCTGTTGTAACACCTCCAATCCCTCCCTGCTTGTCTGGTTGTGAGTTCAGTGCCAAGCTAACAATTTCTCTCAGCTTCTAAGGGAAGACATTCCTTGTCCTGCCCCCCCAGGAACCAGCAGAGCCTTGTTGTGTCTTTGGAGTTCCAGTTGTACCTGTAGAGCTGGAAGTTGTGTCTGTCCAGGATGAGTGCAGGGCTCTGGGAACATCCAGCTGGAAAAGCTCCATTCCTTGGCTGTTGAAGTGTTCCCAGAGTTTTCTTCAGCTGGTTTCCTGTGGAACTCTCCTGAGGGAGATGCTGGTTCTTCCTGCCCTGTGCTCCCACTGGTGCCTGGCAGAGCAATGGAGCATCTCCATACCCACCAAATCCTTCCTGGCTAACCCAGAGAGGGACAGAAATTGCATTTTTTGACCTCCAGAAATGCTCCATCCAGTCCTAGGACTGTGAGCTGGGTCAGGTTGTGTCACTGGAAGGAAGGAATCCTGAGCCAGCAGGTGGTTGGGCTGGATGAGAACTGATTCTCTCCTCAAAGGTGTTGATTGCACTTCCATTGACTTGAAAATGGAGGGTCATTAGTGAAATGAGTCTGAGTGGGACAGGAGGATCAACTTCACTGTTTAAACTTTCATCCCTTAATCAAATGGGTTTGAATCACTTGATATTTAATTTTACTTTTTTTCTCTTATGCAACTTTCGACATTTTGGTCATTGCCTGAGGATTTTCACAGGAAACCTTCCTGTGGCTGGTTTGTGGATTGGGAATTTCTGAAAAACTGTCCAAGTTCTTTCAAGATTAACTGTTTCAGTTCCTGCCTGTACTGTATTTTCATTAAAACATATCAGTTTTTCAAAGTGAACTATTTTCAGAGAAAACCCTCAGTTGTCAGAGGTAAAGTTATCCTTTTGTTCCTTGGAATGCTGGGGAGTTCAAATGCAAAATCCCAGCATATTCCAGATAAAATTGGTATTTGTGTTAATGGAGAAAACAAATCTTGAGGAAAATATTATGGGTTTATTGTTATTTATGTTCCAAATTTTTCAGGCATGTCCTCCCAGTTAATTAAAGAAGAACTGACTTACAGATGAGTGAATACTCCCTGTACCACAACTCATCCCAAAGACGTTCCTTAAGGAACTCAATCTCCTGAGTATAAACCAGTCCTGAAGGTTCTTTAATAAATCACCATTCATTGGAAAATAAAACTGATTGAAGTCACCAGTTCATTGGAAAATAGAACTGATTAACTGTGTTGCTGTTGTGAGAACTCAGAAGGCAGATTTTTATATGGAAATTGATAAATGAATTCAACAAACCAGCAAACAAAATAAAACAAAACAGAAGTGACTTTTCAGATTGAGCTTTGTCTGCTTTTTAGAGTCCCATTTAAAGGCTTTCTTGTTTCTTAACCTTTTCATATCTCAGTTATATGGGTAAAAGTAGGAAAACAGTAAGTGGTTTATACACTTTAAATATCTGCCACTGCAGATAAGTTTGGACAGAGATCCCTAAGCATTTCCAGGTGTTGTTCCTTTTTAAGGGAATATTTGGGGCTATTAGTTCTGGTTCACACAGTGTGTGTTTACACATATTTTCCTTCTTTTTCTCCAGGAGCTGAGGGAAATCCATAACAAACAGCAGCTCCAGAAGCAGAAGAGCTTGGAAGCTGAGAGGTTGAAACAGAAGGAACAGGAAAGGAAGACAGTAGAGCTGGAAAAGCAGAAAGAAGCTCAGAGGTAACAAAAGGGTTTCATCTGAGCCCTTAATTGAAACCTTGACATCTCTGAGAAAATATTCCTGTCAGCTCAAAACTTCAGGGATTGAGATGAGATTTGTGCCCTCTGGTACCAACCTAATGCTTGGGAAGTGGGTTGGTTGGCCAGGAGGAGGAATTTGTTGCTGGCAAGGGTGGTGAGGCCTTGGCAGGGGCTGCCCAGGGAGGTTTGGAGTGCCCAGCCCTGGAGGTGTCCAAGGCAGGCCTGGCCGTGGCACTCAGTGCTCTGGGCTGGGGGACAAGGTGGGGATGGGGCACAGGGGGATCCATGGGCTGGGAGGGCTTTTCCAGCCCCAGGGATCCTGGAATGCTGTGAATTAAGTTTTTTCCTGTGAGGAGCAGCTTCTTCTCATGCATTTGTCCCTAATTTTGTAAATCAGAAGGAAGTCCAGAGGTGGAAAAGGTTGTGGAACAAACCAAAGCACACTGGGCATCTTTTATATCATCAGAGTTATCTCCACTGGGGCAAACTGTTTCTAGCAGAGCATATTTATTCTTTCTTCTGTTGTCTTGTGCTGTGTTGGAGGAAGGACGTGTTAGTTGTGGCAGCTGGAATGTGCAGTGCTCTGGACAGTTCTGCAGGAGTGTTGTGTGAAGCTTCCAAATGTGCTTCCTCCTTGCCCCTCAGGAGCAGGATAAGGAGTTTCACGTGTTCTGACTCCTGCTTTTCCCTTCTGATTGGGCTATTTTGGGTCTTACTCAGGGATGTTCGATGGCCTTGGGTTGGAAGGAGATGATATTTCAGGTCCCTTCCAAGCCAAAGCATTCCACGATTCTGTGATCCCACGAATAATTGTGTAAGGAGATGCTGGGGAGGGGTTGGTGGCTCATCAAAATCAAATTAGCTCTTACAGGGGAAGCAGAAAGCCCTGAAGAGGACACTTGGTGCTATAGGACACCCCAAAGCACAGCTGACTTGGGTGGTCTTTGGTTTGAGTGGCTTAAAAATCCCCCCCTGGTTTTCCAACAGGCGAATCCAGGAACGGGACAAGCAGCGGCTGGAGCGGGGGCAGCCAGAGGAGGAGCCTCAGTGGCCAAAAAAAGTTCAGGAAGAGGAAAAGCAAAAAAGGGAAGACATACCTAAGAAGAAGGAAAGTGAGGAGAAGGGGAAGCAGGAAATGCAAGAGAAGCTGAGTAAACTCTTCCAGCCCCACCAGGAGCCAGCCAAGCCAGTCCAGGCTCCCTGGTCCAGTGCAGGTAGGGTCAAACCCCAGGAATGCTGGAACAGAGCCTCGGGAACAGTTCTTTTCTCTTCTGGCTCCCCATTTAATACAGGAGGATGGTGTACTTCAGGGTTGGACTGCTGGTCTTAGTGAAGTAAATAATGGACAGATTGAGCTCCAGGCTCCACAGATTGTCCTTTTAGGCATCACCATTGTCCCTAAAGGTCTGGGGTTTAGCAGAGTGTAAAGCACAGGATGAGATTCCCAGTGCCAAGTGAGGAGAGATTCTGAGCTGGAAAGGGCTGGAAGATCCTGGTGCAGGGTGCCAGGAATTATTTCTGTGTTTTCTTGTTTTGGTGTGCAGTATGTGCCTTGGGATTTGTTAGAGCAGCACCAATATGTCCCAGGGTTACCCTTTTCCCTCTCCTGCCCTCCCCAGGAATGTTGTTCACTGATAAAATCACCTGAAATCTAAGATTTAACCCCTCTCTTTCTGCTCTGCACACAGTCCCTTTTTTTTTTTTTAATTTGTGCAGGGAGCAGAGGGCACTTTTATGACTAAACCCTGCCCAGAGGGGTTGTGGATTCCCCATCCCTGGGAGTGTCCCAGGCCAGGTTGGAGAGGGTTTGGAGCAGCCTGGGCTGGTGGAAGATGTCCCTGCCCAGGGCAGGGGTGGCACTGGATGAGCTTTAAAATCCTTTCCAACCCAAACCATTCTGTGTTTCTGTGATTTTTCCCTGATGTTTAGAGGATAAAATAGCAAGAAAATTGTCTTTAAATAATTAATTTTCATATATAGGGAATGAGATGCTTCCTACAGACCCTCCCAGCTCTGTCCATTTTTGTCACCACTTTCACCTCATTTTGCAAGTGTTTAAAAATAAAGGGGGTTGGTTATATTTTTTTCCTTGTGTGTTTCTTTCCTTTGCTCAGAAAAAGCTCCTCTGACCATTTCTGCTCAGGAGGATGTAAAAATAGTGTATTATAGAGCTCTGTATCCTTTTGAATCCAGAAGCCACGACGAGATCACCATCCAGCCCGGAGACATCGTCATGGTAAGGAGGGATTGGGATGTCCCTGCAGCAAAGCAGCTTTGCACAAGTGTGACTTAAATTATGTAAAGAAAGGAAGCTTCAAAACCTAAAAATCTGGTGGCAGGGGTGTTGATACGCAGTGATCTCCAATCTTTTTCCACTCTGTCGTGTCAAAGTCTAAAGCAATATTTGCTTTTGTCTCTCTAAAATTGGAGTTCTGTGGTTAAATGACTGCAGGAATTAAAGGGTTATTATTTAATTCAAAAACTTTATTAATATTAATAAATAATTGGTATGATCTTAACATGGAGAATGAAAACTCCTGAGGGAGCTCTTAAATGAGACTTTGTTCACTTGGGGGAAAATATATTTACAATAACATTCCACCCAACAAAATTGGTTTTGAAGAGCTTCTGCATTTTAGCTCATTTGTGGAGTGGATTTGGGGGAAAAAATACACTTTGCAGGCTGTGCTGAGCTGGAGGGATGAATTTTGTTTGAAAGCCCATGTCCTGGGGAGCTGAACCTTTGGGGGTGGGGTTGGGCATTCGTTAATTTGGTGTTTGGGACGCTGGAAGGGACTGGGAAAACACAAACAAAAATTTCCTGGGAAAGGGAGCGAGGCCCAGGCTTGTGGGCTGTTTACATTGAGGACCAGTGGTCAGGGAAAATAACATTGTCCCCCCAAAATAGGTGAATGTAAGGAGCACTGCACACGTTTTTAAACAGAGGTTTGCAGGGAAAATAATATTTTTGCCAAAAATATGTGATTTTAAGGAGCGCTTCACGTGTTTTAAATAGAGACTTTGAGGTCATCCAGATCTTTTTATGTGTTCCTTTTCGACTTGATTTTACTTTACTCTCCCACAGTGGGGTAACTACTCTCTGTTCTCTTTATTTAACTGATTTTTGACAATAATTAAACCTGATTCTTGGGAGATTTCTCTCCTGCTCCGCAGTAATGGCTTAACTGGGCTACTCTTAGATGAACTGATCTAAGTCAAATTGTGAACTGTGTTGTAATTGTGCCTTGCTTTGAATCTTTGCTTCCCTCTGGAGGTTAAAAGGGAATGGGTAAGTGCTGCCTGACTCCAGGAAGGCTCTGGAATTGCTCCTTTTCCATGAGCACACATGAGTTTGTTCCTGTGTAGTTTTGAATTCCCCAAGGGTCCAATTACCAAACTCCTTCACTTTATCAAAAGTAATTCAACTGCACCAACCCAGAGCTTACTTTTGATGCTGCTTTTGTGCTCCTTGACCCTCAGTCCTTCCGTGTCTGTCGTGTCCTGTGGTTCTCCCGGGCCCAGGGGGTGACTTTCTTGGGAAAGTAACCATTTACAAGCTCACATGTTAAAGTGGCTCTGCCTGGTGGGTAAATGCAGCTCTGGAGTTGAGCAGCTCTGCAGCTGGGAGTGTCCTGGTGCCACAAAACCACCCCTCCTTGGAATAACCGGGCACTGGCACGGGCAAATCGAGCTCTTCACCATTGGAACCTGAGTTTGGGCCCATTTTAACCCCAAATTTTGACCCATTTTCAACAAATGCCATGTCCTGATTTCCATCTGGACAGGAGGTACCACCCGGACTGGGACTGAGCAAGGAGCTGGACCCAGATCTGGGAGCAGGCTGGAATCCTGGCGGGGGCTGGACTGCAGAATTCCTCGTGGCAGGAGGACTTTAATGGATGTGGAGCTTGTAGATCCCCTCTACAGCAGTGTAAAGCACTTTTACACTGGGCATGAACCCTGGGACCTGTCTGGGTGCAAATGAGGGAGAAGGACGAGGGTTTGTTGGGAAGGAGGATGATTTTCCAGCCTGAGGAGGGCTCTGCTCTCCCAGCTCCCTGGGATATGGCAGTGACCTGGATCTGGCATCATGCACTGGACAATCACTGGGTTGTGGACTCTGGTTTTTAATTCTCCCACTTTGTACTTACAGGATTTTGTGGTTTTTCTTGGATTTTGGCTTTCTCTGTTTCTTATCTTTCAATGCACTTTAAATGTCTTTCACTGTGAGCTTAGACTGATTTTAATCCTGTCTGTAACTCAACCAAGCTTCTGTGTGGGGACAGATATTATTTAAAACAAACTCCTAATGACAGCTTCTCCTCAGTTTTGTTACTTATTCATTGCTGGAGTTGGAAAGAGTCTTCTGTGTCTGAGACATGTGAGGAGTTCTCAGCTGTGGCTTAAAGTACAGTTGAACAAGTAAAAACTAACCCCCCACACTATAATTCACTGTTCAGGTGTACATTTAAACTCCAGTTGTATTTTGGAAATAAATATTCTGGGATTGTTTGTTGTAGGGACTTGGGGATGGTGGGTGTAAAAATCTAAGGAAATTGGAAGAAATTAAAAAGGTTCAAAGGGATTTGTTTAACATTGCAGTACTGTGCTGCAAAACCAGATGTGACTGGTATCTTATATGAATGAGTAAGAAACCAGTTTTGTTATGAATGATGAAGTTTAAATTACCCTTCCAAGTGCCTTTTCCTGAGTGTTCATGGAGAACTGAATGGGGCTGGATAAGCAGAAATCTGACTGTCCTCACAGCTGCTTTAGGAGTTCCTGTAGCTTCAAACCCTCTCAGAAGAGAGACTCAGTTAGTTGGCTTTAAAACCTTTTTGTTGTTGGGGTTTTTTTTCCCTTATTTCTGAAAACTTATTTCTGTGTGACTGTGATTGGTGTCAGAGATGCTCTTTTTAGAGCATCCCCAGAACAGGAATGTGACTTTTCTGTGTGTTGGGGGTGGTGCTTCCTCCCTGTCCCACCGAGTGAGTCCCCCCTGGGTGAGTGTTCTTAGTGCTCAGATGATTCAGCTTGGCCTGGGGTGCTGATAATCCCTTTCTCCCAGGGTGTGACCTTCCCTCCCCCTGCTGCTGCTCCCTCCATCCCAGGCTCTGCTGCAGTGGAAATTTTGCTCTGCACTGCAGTAAAAGCACATGGAACTGGTCAAGCACAAAGTGCCTTTATTTCTGGTTTGCTTTGAGCTGACAGGGACTGAGCCACGAGGAGGGCCCCAAAATTAGAAATAATGGGTGGGTTTGCACCAAAAGAGGGGGGTGAGACATTACAGTGAGAGGGAAAAAGTCAACAATGAGCCTGAGGCAAAGGAGTCTGTCAGGAGCTCAGTGGAGTATTCCAGGGACAGAAATCCATCCATGGGCTGGGCTGATCCCAGAAATCCATCCATGGGCTGGGCTGATCCCCCAGCGTGGGCATGAGGGCAGGGGGGATTGTGCCCCTCTGAGACCCCCCTGCAGAGCTGCTCCAGCCCTGGGAACAGCACAGGGAGCACAGGGAGCTGCTGGAGAGAGCCCAGAGGAGGCACCAAGAGGATCCCAGGGCTGGAGCAGCTCTGCTGGGAGGAAAGGCTGGCACAGCTGGGATTGTTCAGCTGGACAAGAGAAGGATCCAGGGAGAGCCCCTTGCAGGGCCTGAAGGGGCTCCAGGAGAGCTGGAGAGGGACTGGGGACAAGGGCTGGAGGGACAGGACACAGGGAATGGCTTCCCACTGCCAGAGGGCAGGGATAGATGGGATATTGGGAAGGAATTGGTGGCTGGGAGGGTGGGCAGGTCCTGGCCCAGGTTACCCAGAGAAGCTGTGGCCGCCCCTGGATCCCTGGGAGTGTCCAAGGCCAGGTTGGACGGGGCTTGGAGCAGCCTGTGCTGGTGGAAGGTGTCCCTGTCCATGGCAGAGGTGGCACTAGATGGGCTTTAAGGTCCCTTCCAGCCCAAGAAATTCCATGATTCCAGGGTGGTACTGTGACTGTTCTGTTACTGCCACAGCCAACTCCTGAGTGACACTGGGGTTTGCAGCTCTTACATACTTTGAGACACTGTTGGCTCCTGACCTGAACAGAGGAGGGAAACTCTGATCAAAAACCAGCCACTGTGGGGAGTTGGTCCCCCAGAGGGTGGTTGGCACTGCCCAGGCTCCCCAGGGCAGTGGGCACGGCCCCAAGGCTGCCAGAGCTCCAGGAGCGTTTGGGCAACGCTCTGAGGGACAGGGGGGAGTGCTGGGGTATCCTGGGCAGGGCAGGGCTTGCACTGGATGATCCTTGGGGGTTCTTCCCAGCTCAGGATATTCCAGGATTTTATGGTCATCTTTGTTGCATCCAGGCCTTGATGACCTGGCAAAGGGAGCAGAGTGAGGGGCCTGCAAATTTCCATAGGAAACCTTCCCGTGGAATTGTTCTACATAAATACATTCCCACATTTGTGGATTGGTTTGGAACTGTTCAGTGGGTGTTGGTTGCAATATGCTGTGGGGTTTTTTGGTTCTATTTTGTGCTAAGGAATTGAGGAGAACCTGTAGAAAACTGCATTTTGTGTTAGATCAGAAATAGCAAAACTTCAGGGATTCCCCTGGAGCTCACTGCTCCCAAGTCTGCTGTGCTGGGACGGACTTTAAGCAGCTGATGCTTCATTTATGCAGTAGAAGTGAAACAAATTTTTTTTACCTCATCACCAAGAAACCCTTTTGAACACCTGGAGGTGTCCAAGGGCAGCTTGGAGCAGCCTGTGCTGGTGGAAGGTGTCCCTGCCCACGGCAGGGGGTGGAACTGGATGGGCTTTAAGGTCCCTTTCTGGGATTCTGGGATTTTGGCTCGGGTGAAAAAGAAAATAGAAGACAAAAAGGCTTCTAGGTCTGTACTGCATTGCAGGGAGTGAGTTCCTGGGAGGAGAGGGGTTGTTTGCAGGAAAAGTGGCATTTACGTGGGGTGTTTCTTAACTCTCTTGCCTTGCTGTGTCTGCAGGTGGATGAAAGCCAGACTGGAGAGCCGGGGTGGCTCGGGGGGGAACTGAAGGGCAAGACTGGCTGGTTCCCTGCCAACTACGCCGAGAGGATCCCCGACAGCGAAGTGCCCGGCGCGGCCCGGCCGGCGGGGGAGGCTGCGGCCCCCAAGGTGTCCGTGCAGGACAGCAGCACCCCCCTGGCAGCTCCTGCCCCCCCCGAGGCTCCTGCCACCACCAACAACTGGGCAGACTTCAGCTCCACGTAGGTGTGGGGGGTGAGGAGCGCTCCTGACCTGCGGCTGTGGCTGTGGTGGCACCGAGCAGGGAGCCAGGCTGCACAGGCTGCCAGGGAACACACCTTCTGGGAGGGAGCTTCTCGGGAGGGAATTGTCAAAATCACGGCCTTGTGGGGTTGCAGCTGCCCCCAGCAGACCTGCTGAGCAGTGCCCAGGGCACAGCACACACAGGGGACAGGCCTAAGTGAGGATGTGGCACGGTGGAAACGCCAAGGTGTTCACTCCCCTCAGCATGGGGGAATCCCAGACTGGGCTGGGTTGGGAGGGACCTCAAAGCCCACCCAGTGCCACCCCTGCCATGGGCAGGGACACCTTCCACCAGCACAGGGTGCTCCAAGCCCTGTCCAACCTGGCCTTGGACACTTCCAGGGATCCAGGGGCAGCCACAGCTTCTCTGGGCAACCTGTGCCAGGGCCTGCCCACCCTCCCAGGGGACAATTTCTTCCCTATGTCCAACCTAAGTTTCTCTTCTTTCAGCTTGAGCCCATTGATCCTTGTCCTGTCACTGCAGTTCCTGATGAACAGTCCCTCTCTGACTTCCCTGTAGGCCCCTTCAGGCCCCTTCTCCTTCTCCTACATCAGTTGCCACCAATCCTTATTTAAGGTTCCCAGCGTGGATTATGCAAAATACAGAGATAACATGAAAAGATGATTTGTTAATTCCTGATGACAACATTAACAAGACTGATGGAAGTAGAACACGTGCCCTTCCCTACACGTCTTAACTCAGTGCTCTGGGCAGTGTCACCAACTGTAATTGCCTTCTCTTTTGGCCTTGTATCCATATTTATAAATTAAAATATAAATATGAGGCCCCTGGCACAGGTTGCCCAGAGAAGCTGTGGCTGCCCCTGGATCCCTGGAAGTGTCCAAGGCCAGGTTGGATGGGAATTGGAGCACCCTGTGCTGGTGGAAGGTGTCCCTGCCCATGGCAGGGGTGGGATGGGATGACTTTTAAGATTCTTTCCAACCCAAACCATTCTGGGATTCTGTGTCTAAGTGAAAGGGATGTATGACGTCAGTGCCAGGCTGGTAGGAAAGTTTTGGAAAGAGTGAAGAATTATTTTAATGATTTAATTATTTTCATTTCTCTTCCCACTGTGTGTAACACAGCCCACGCTGCCTGAACTTCTGGTGTGTTGGGAACAGCTGAAAAACGAAAGTAAAAACCTGCCCTTAGGTATTAAGGACAAGCAAGTGGCTTTGGAGTTGCCTTTGGAGATAAACTCCTGGTTAGCCCAGGTTTGATGGCAGTGTTGCAGTCCTGGTGCTCAGGGATTAGTCAGTTAAAACAAATCAACGGGGAATGGAGACATTTCTGTTCTGCAGGAGTGTTTTTCTCCGGCTGAAAGCAGTAGGAGTTCCACCATTCTCTGTTTTCCAGGTGGCCAAGCAACCCCAGTGAGAAGGCCGAGAGTGACAACTGGGACGCCTGGGCAGCCCAGCCCTCCCTGACGGTGCCCAGCGCGGGGCAGCTGCGGCAGCGCTCGGCGTTCACCCCCGCCACCGTCACCGGCTCCTCCCCGTCCCCCGTGCTGGGCCAGGTGAGCTCTGCAGCCTCTGCAGCTGCTGGGAAGGGTCTGCAAGGCAAAGTGGGAACCTTGACCGTGAATTAAACCTGGCACCTGAGCGGGCTGAGCCCTTCCAGTCTGGAGGGACAACAGGGAGGGTCCCCCCCCTGCAGAGCTGCTCCAGCCCTGGGAACAGCACAGGGAGCACAGGGAGCTGCTGGAGAGAGCCCAGAGGAGGCACCAAGAGGATCCCAGGGCTGGAGCAGCTCTGCTGGGAGGAAAGGCTGGCACAGCTGGGATTGTTCAGCTGGACAAGAAGATTTGGGGTGACCTGACTGTGGCCTTGCAGGAACCAACAAGAAGGATGGAGAGAGACTATTTCCAAGGGCTGGAGGGACAGGACAAGGGGAATGGCTTCAAACTGCCAGAGGGCAGGGATAGATGGGATATTGGGAAGGAATTGCTGGCTGGGAGGGTGGGCAGGCCCTGGCACAGGTTGCCCAGAGAAGCTGTGGCTGCCCCTGAATCCCTGGGAGTGTCCAAGGCCAGGTTGGATGAACTTGGAGCAGCCTGGGCTGGTGGAAGGTGTCCCTGCCCATGGCAGCGGTGGCACTGGATGGGCTTTAAGGTGCCTCCCAACCCATCCCACTCCATGATTCTGTGATCCACTGGCAGCATCTGGGGCAGGGTTTAACACAAAGCAGTTGCTGTTCTGCTGTTCTGGGCTGGCTGTTTGGGATTTGGTGGTCATGGGTTGGGTCACTTCCTTGGGGATTTCTTGATTCCCAGGACAACAACCTTCACTCCCAGGTGGATTGTGTGGTTAAGTGGAGTAGCAGTGGCAAACTTAATATTGATTATGTGTCAGGAGGCAGAAATGCAGGAGGGCTGTAGACATTTCTGGAGTTCCTTAGGGAGTTCAGCTGGCATTGCTGTCACTGAGGGAGTGGCTGTGTGTTGTTGCTCTATAAGCAGCCTGAGAATATAATTCCTTAAGCAGCTTTCTGGTGAAAGGAGGGGCCTGACTGACTTCTGTCTCCTTTTATTTTTCAGGGTGAAAAAGTGGAGGGGCTCCAAGCACAGGCTTTGTATCCTTGGAGAGCCAAAAAGGACAACCACCTTAATTTCAACAAGAATGATGTCATCACAGTCCTGGAGCAGCAGGACATGTGGTGGTTTGGAGAGGTCCAGGGACAAAAGGGGTGGTTCCCCAAGTCCTACGTGAAGCTCATTTCAGGCCCCATTAGGAAGTCAACCAGGTATTTGTTTGCTTTGCCTGTACTGGAACAGATAGATAAATAAATAGGAAGAGTTGCACAGTTGGATTTTAAAGCTGAGAATCTACTCTGTGGAAGTGCCTTTTCTTATCTGACCCTTCTGGAGAGTTTGGACTTCCAACCTTGGAAATTCGTGTGGGCAATAAAACTGACCCCAGCTCTCCTTGGGTCTTGCCTCACCAACAAAAGATTAGTGGGCTTTCTTAATTTTAGGTGATTTGCAACTAAAAAATGAGTCTGTTGGATTTTATGAATTGCACCTGTGTAAGTCACAGCTTATCTTTCCCCAAAATTAAAAGAGATTCCTCAAATCTAAATCACTTCTCATTATTCTTGGAGGAATTTAAATTCTGTGTAATGTGAAGGCAACATTAACATTAGCAATACAAATGAGGAGGATCTTAGATCATTTTTTTTTTTGCTGGGGAAGAGGAGGAGATGCAGAAAATTCTCTATTTAAGGCATCTGCCTCAGTGAAACCACAGCTGGACTTCAGAGCTTTATTTTGCACATTTACTGCTCTTTTAAAACACGGGGAATTGCTTGGGGGTGCATTTGCATTTTTGAGTTTGAAATATAACGCTAATTTTTCTGAAGAGATTGAATTTCTTATATAACCATTCTTTTCTCCTCAAGCATGGATTCTGGGTCCTCAGAAAGCCCTGCTAGTCTGAAAAGAGTTGCATCCCCAGCAGCAAAGGCCACGATGTCAGGGGAAGGTAAGGACTTCAAGCCATGGCACTGAGAGGATCTTACTGGGATTCACCACCACGGCTCTGCTTGTTCCCCAAATCACCCTTAGAGCCACTCTGGGGGGTTGCAGGTGAAGTGCACATCAATCTGCCTCTGCAATGATTTGAAGTCGCTATAGTAGGAATTTGTGTGTGTTGTGTACGTAGAAGAAATAATTTAACATGTCACGAGATATCTTTTGTATTTTGTATTTTCATTTTTTTAACTAATATTTTGGTAACAATTTCTGGTCTGGAAGGGGGTTATGCCAAATAAACACCCCTGTCCATGCACTCCATGATGTCAGGAATTGGGAATAAATGTCTCAGTATCCCCCAAAGATAATTTCCAATGTTTCATTAAGCTCTTAATTAAAGCAGTGACAGTGAGTTAGAGAATATTGGGATCCTCCTGCTCAGGGCTCCCCCTCAGTTTTACAGGTGGAGCCTGGGGCACAGACAGAGAAAGATCAGATCAGATTAAAAGGGGAATTCCTGAGTGGAGGGGACAGACAAAGATCCACCCACAAGGAAGGGGAGATCCAGTTATTTCAAAATACAGCTGGTCTGGCTCACTCTGTATTTCATGTTATCAGAGAGTGGGTTGAGTTGGAAGGGCCCTAAAGATCATCTTGTTCTGGTTTTCCTCATATTATTAGCAACAAGGCATGCTGAGCCTCCTTACATATCTGTATATATTTATAGATTTATATCAGGTTATATGTTTGTATTAAAAAGGAACTCAACTTTTGGGAAAACATTTCCAAAAAGCTGTATTTTTAAGGGAATAATAAAGCCTTTTAAGTAATAAGCTTCTTAAATCATAGAGCTTTTTTAAAGACATAAAAAGGTTGGATTTAGCACCTTCCATTCCTTGGGAACAGGAATTTGGTTGGAATTCTTGCCAGAACAGGTTCAGACCCCTCTGTGGGCAGGAGGGCAGCAAAGAATTCCTGGTAGGCCTGGGCCAACAGCAGCTGTGAGGCAGGGCTGGATCCAAAATTCTGGATACTGGGACTTCCCAGCCCTAGCACTGACGGTTCCAGGCACCAGCACAAACCAGGAACCACTGGGAGATGTGTTTTCAGAGGGATCTAAATGATCTGTGCATGTTTTAATTATAAAGCAGATCATATAAAATCCCCCTGAGGCAGCCCCTCGATCCACTGTGTTTAGTTCTGATAGGTACCATTTCATGCATTAATTATCGAGCTCTCTGTGAGCACTAAACAAGAAATTGGTCTCCCATCGAGCCTGTGAATAAACTACTGACATTTCTTGGCTTTTTCCCGTGGTGATGAAGCAGTGTGTGAAGTGTTTTCCCTGTTTTTCTCGTGTCCCTCCCCCAGAGTACATTGCCATGTACACCTACGAGAGCTCGGAGCAAGGAGACCTCACTTTCCAACAAGGTGACATGATTCTGGTGACAAAGAAAGATGGTGACTGGTGGACGGGCACGCTGGGTGATAAATCAGGAGTTTTCCCATCTAATTATGTGAGACTCAAAGATTCTGAGGTAGAGAAACGTTGAAATGTTCTCAACTGGAGCTGAGGGTGTTTCGTGTGGGGTTCTCGTAGCTGGAAGTCGCTGGGTCAGAAGGGAAACAAAAATCTGGTGGAGTTTTACTGAGTGGGAGCTTGGAAAGGAGGAACAGCAGTGACAGCAGTAACAGTTGTGTTTTACCACACAACATCACAAATGACTTATGGGCCATGTGTTAAAATAAACCCTGCCTGTGTCAGTGGTTTGCATGGCACTTGGGCAGAGGCAAAGCAGAACAGCCATGATTATTTGATTCCCCAGGTAAGGTTTTAATGGCTGAGCTGGATCTTGCTGCCATTATTTAAAAAAAAAAAAAAAGTAATATTTCAACCTATTGTATTTGTTCCCTATTGACATTTTCTTGCAATTAAGGGTAACAAATTTGGCAACAAAACTTAGCCAAAACTACTGCATTTATTTGAAAGGTCTTGTCTGAATAATAGAGGTTCTGTTCCATCTATTTTTATCCTGAAATAATTCCATAAAACATGTCCATGTGATTTTTTTTCTTTTTTTTTTTTTAGGCATCCTAAAAAGATGTTTTCTCATTTATATTGTTTAGGGGGATAATTTATTTAGTACTAGGAATTAGCTTTGTGTCAGAGTTGAATGCACTTGATGAGAAGGAGCTCTAGTTTATATTTCTGGAATAATGGGGGGTGAAAAGGTAAATAGGTACAAACCAGTGGATTTTGTGGATTTGGATGGAGAGGCTTTTTCACAAGTCTGTCTGCTGGAATTGTGTGTGTGTGTGACACAACTCAGTGAAAGACTCTGCAACCCTGAGCAAAGTGGCTCCTGAAAATCCTTCTGCTGGTGGAAAAGCCACGGAATAAAACCTGCAGTGGAATGTGCAGCTGTAGGAACTCCTTACAGGGGAAATTTAGAGACAGTCCAGAAATCCCAGCAACACCCTCTAGGACAGGATTGCAAAAGCTTGGGAGTTAATGCCACTTAGTCCTGCAGTCCCTGGGAGGGGTGTTGGGGAGTTGTTGGCACATCCTTGTGGAGAGCTCAGGTGTTTGCAGGTGGACACTGCTCTTGTCAGGAAGGTCAATGGGATGTCTCTCTGACCTTGGCTTGCCTGGGCTGAGCCATCCCAGTGCACCTCACCCCAGAGTGCCCCAACTGCCCTTCTTGCTGCTGAAAATCCCCACCTGCAGCTACAGTCGTGATGAGAGAGGGAGGAAAGAGCTGAGAGCTCGTGGAGACCTCGGTGTCCACATTCCCTGCAGGGATTCCTGTGCCTGCAGGACACAGTTCCGTGTCCAAGTGGGTAATTTGGATTACATGGCAGAGTTTTGCTCTTCAGCTTGTTCACAGAGCCAGCTTTTACAGAGGCTTTCAGAGTCCTGGCTGTGTCAACTCTGATCTCTGCTGTGCTTGGACAGCTGCCTGCTGGGGGAAAATGGTCCTAAAAGAGGGAATTAATTTCATGTGTCCTGCACTGTTGACTCAGACCCAAAGACAAACAGTGGTGATCTTTCAGCAACAAGTGCAGAGTTTATAGAAATTCCTGTAAACCTCAAAGCTTCAGTGGTTTCCACACCAGAAGAATTTTTTAATTTGTTCTTCTGCCCAGGCTGCCCATTCACCCCAAGGTGATAAATTAAACTATTCCCTGTTCCAATAATATATAATAATAAGTTCCAACTTATTAACAGGGTGGGAAAGCCTTTGTTCTCCAAAGGAACAATGACACCACTCCGTGGTCCATGCCCAAGTTTTCATTAGGCTGAGGTAGATGGAAACAGATCTGAAACGGGGTGTTGTCCTTGAGAGTGGTGGTAATTCCTCTGAGGGGATGGAGCTCAGGGGGCAGCTTGGAAACCAGCAGTTTGGATGGCTCTGGTTCCAAAACTTTGCTTAAATGTTCAGGACATAACCCTGGTGGGAATGTGCAGGGTCCTGCTGCAGCACAGTGTTTAATGAGGCTGCTGGGTCTCACTGACAGAGCAAGTTCTGCTCTTCTGTTCCAGAGCCTTGATCCCTTCCACAGAACCCCCTGCAGTGCTCAGGGGGTGTCTCAGCTGGGCAGAAGGGAAGCACAACAGGGTCTGTCCTCTCCCTGTGTTTCCTCTACAGAGGGAATTGGAACTATTTCTCCACCTCCTGAATGGAGCAGAAATTGGGTCCATCTCAGGTTCACTGTTGGTTAATTTAGTTATTTACTGAAGTGCTGTAGGACTTCCCTGTGTGTTTATTTTGCTTCTTCACCAAGGATTCAGAGCGCCCTCCAACACAGCTCAAAGTCAGCCTGGCCCAGGTGACTGTGAGGTTTCTGCCACGCAGTAACCCCTCTGTGTTTCAGAGCTGTGTGTAGGACAGTGTCCCCCCCGAGGGATGTGCTTCCAGTCCAGCAGTGTGGATGGGAGTTTGTTGGGGTGTGTGCTCTGAAAGTCCAAACCCTTGGCTTTCACTGAGGGTGTTTCTCTGCAAGAAACGCTTTCCAAGGCAGAATTAATTCCTGATGTTCCCCTTTCAGCCTGAGCTGTTGCTCACCATTTAATCCTCCCCCCGTGGGACTGTCGAGCCCACCTTGTCACTTGTCCCCAGACCTAAACCCAGGCTTTGTGTCTGAGCTCTGGGTGATGCTTTCCTCGCTCACTCTTTATGTCACACAGGTCCCAGTGGTTGTAGAGCAAGGTGGGGACCTGAGGAGAATCAAAGGGCTCAGGGAGGGAAGGAAGGTTTGCTGCCCTTGTGGGTGTGAGTGCAGTCAGGGCCTGACAGGGACAGGAGAGGACAGGGTGGGGTTTGTAAGGAGCATCCTGAAGGTGAAGGAGAAGGAGGGTGGAAGTGTTGAAGGCAAGAGGATATTCATGGTGACCCAACAGTTCTGATCAAAGTTCAGTTCAGGTTTATGTTGATGTTATCCATCTGAAACCTTTTCACAGCAGGAGATAAGAGGGTTAGTGGACCAGGAGAAAACAGAAGGAATTATTTAGGGAGCAGGAACTGCACTAATTCCAGGGTTTACTGGTTTTTTTGTGGCTGTTCAAAGGCTTTTCTTGCAAATCCCTTGGCCTGGAGGATGATGATGAGGATGATGATGACGTTCATCCCTCATCCCACCCTGTCTGGCTGCAGTGAGTTTCTCAGGAATATTTACAATCCAACTGTTTGTAAACAATTCCTGTTGGTGTAACTCAGCTCGGCAGAATTCCCACTGTGTAGATTCCCAGATATACAACTCCAGGGTGGTGTCATTTGGATTCACACTGATATTTGCAGTCCATGAAGGGGAGGAAGAGCTCAGGAGAGAATTCTGCATTTTTGCACTGAGTCATCCCCTTGCACACACTGCTTGGGGTTTATTCCCAGGCATTTACTGCCATCAGAAACAGGAAGGATTTCTGTAAAAACACAATCTTCCTGGGAGGTTTTCACTTCCATGCTTGGGGAGTGGGTTAAATTTAATGTGTAAGGAGAGAAATTAATCTGAGTGCTAAACTTGCATCTTGTTTCCTGTTTCCAGGCTCCAGGAGCAGCTGGAAAAACGGGAAGCCTAGGGAAGAAACCTGGTGAGTCCTGTGTTGTGACAGCACCTTCTGTTTGTTCTTAAGTGTTTAAGTTCAATGGCACCAAAATCTTTCCCATGGAAATAAAGGATGTTTGGCTTGGTCATTTTGTAGTAGTTTGCACTGATGGAAACAACTGTAATAAATGCAGTTAATAAATAATGTAACTAATGAAATAATGCATCATCTCTAGTCATTCTAACATGTCAGGCATAAGTAGCAGGTAGCCAGAGAATAAAAATCTGCTCAAAAATGAATGTAAACTTCCTGCTGAACAGAACAGTGGAAGCCATTCCCCCTCACCCTGTCCCTCCATCCCTTATCCAAAGTCCCCTCCCAGCTCTCTTGGACCCCCTTGAAGCCTCCCTGCAAGGGGCTGTAAAGTCTCTTCTCGGTAATCCAATATTCAAACAAACAAAATGAAAAGGTTCTTCATGGAAGAGAAGCTGTTTCTGGGTTGGGTTTTTTTGAACTTTTTTTTCTGGACACTTTTCTCTGAATTTCTTTCTCCCTGTGAGGGGCAAGGGCTGAATGTTGGACCTGTACTTTGTGTTGTGACTCCTTTAACACAGAGACCCTGGTGCAAGTCCTTAATGCTGCTGGGTGGGGGCAGGGGATGGCTCACGCCTTGGGAACCACCTGTTGTGGGTAGGAATGAGCAATTCTGGTTCTGGGAGGGGTAAGGAGGGGAAGATCTTTGCTCTCCCGTTGTGATCTGAACGTGGCAACTGCTGGGGTAGCGAGGGGGGTTGTCCTGATCTGGAGAAACTCCCACCACTCATTTGCTTGCTGGGGTTCATTTTGCCTCCTGAATGGCTTTAGGATGGAGGGATTAATGGAATTCTGTGGGAAACCCTGCAAATGCAGGGGCCTGCAGACTTTCAGCAGGAGACATTGTTTGCAGTGACCTGGGACTGCTCATCCCTCTGCTTCCCCACCCTCCCCGTGCCTCACATGCTTCCCTGACCATTCCTAATTCCCCCAGTCATCCTTTTCTCCTCAGTTTGGAGTCAGCACTGATGATTTTCCTGCCAGGCCCCAGCTCCCTGTGTTTGTTCCCTGCAGCCCAGCCCCGGGAGCTGCCGGGCGGTTCCCCTGGCACGGCTGCCCTGCTGCTTCCATGGGGACCACACCTGTTCTGTGGCTCTGCCAGGCACTGCAACCCAACCCCAACTCTGGCTCTGGAGGCACTGCAAACCACCCCAAACTCTGTCTCTGCCAGGCACTGCAACCCAACCCCAGCTCTGGCTCTGCCAGGCACTGCAACCCAACCCCAGCTCTGGCTCTGCCAGGCACTGCAAACCAACCCAAACTCTGGCTCTGGAGGCACTGCAAACCAACCCCAACTCTGGCTCTGCCCTGGGGATCTGCAGAGGGATTGGTGAGCTCAGGGCTCCTGTGCCCCTCCGGGCTGGCAGGGGGTCACATGGGGCACCTGCTCCGTGCTGGTGGCCATGGAATGAGCATTCCCAAAGAAATGCTCTTTGGTACCCTTTGAAAACATTCATTTGGGGTCTGGTGGGGAAAGATCAATTCATTTGCACCTCTCAGAGCAACTTCATTATGTTGTCATTGGTGTGGCTCCTCCTTTTAGGGAGCTTAGTCCAAAACTGGACTTGACTAAATGGAATTTTAGAGAGTTGTATTTACTGGAAAACACTATTATGAAACTGCATTTTAAGAGCTGTACAGTTGTTGTTGTTATTATTGTTGTTGTTGTTATTCTATATTTCAGATACTTTTATCTCCTACCCATAGAGCTGTTGCACCTCTGGTTTATTGTTTATTTACTCCTGCAGTGCCCTGAACTTCTCATTCCTTTTGTAATTCCCACGTGTACCCCTGGAAATACACAAATGCATCCCGATTTTATGGAGAGAAAGGCCACGGTGATGGTAGCAGGAATAATGTTGGATAGAATGTGTTCAGGCTTTTCCAAACTAACCTTCTCTTCCCCTTGTGCTCCCCCAGAAATTGCCCAAGTTATTGCCTCTTACACAGCCACGGGCCCAGAACAGCTCACTCTGGCTCCTGGGCAGCTCATCCTCATCAGGAAGAAGAATCCAGGTGGTTGGTGGGAAGGAGAGCTCCAAGTTAGTGCCTTTTTTATGGTAATCAAATTCCATGGTAAAAAAAAAGGGGGATTTTTTTTTAGCGGTTCCGAACGCCGAAGGTGTCAGTCAGAAATCCCTGGAGAACGTGGTGCAGTTCAGCTTTTGAAGATAAAATACCCTAAAAAAACATGCCCTGGGGCCATCCCTGAGGGGTTTTGGGGCCATCCCACTGAGGGGGTTTGGGGTTTGGCCTTTGAGCAGGTGAAGAAATGTCAAGGGTTTATTTGCAGTGCAGAGGCTCCAGAAGGAATTCAGTTATTTTTTCCCTGTTACCACCTGCCCTTTTTGCCTTTTCTGGGGATATTTTTTCATCTTTTTGTGGAGAAATCACCTCCCAGGATTCCTCTGGGCTTTGTTCTCACTGACCTTTCTGCTGCTGGTAACTTTTGCCTTTACAAAGTCTCCATTAAATGGATTTTGAGACAGAAAAGAAGCTTCCCTGGGCAAGATCTGCCACAATTCTCCCTGAGCAGCTGCTGGGAGGTCCTAAAACCATTAATTTTTGGTTGTGTAAATATTCAGTGTGACTTTAGATACTTTAATGTGATACAATTGTTTTTTGTTTCATTATCACTCCCTTGTCTATTCTATAAATATTCTATTTATTCTCCTCTTCCACACTTGGGGGTCAGAGTGGAGGGAAAATAAAGCCAATGTTTTAAGCTGGTTTAATGCAGCATCCAAAAATAGCTTAAAATTAATGCTCCAGATACTCTTTAGATCAAGTGCTTTCTTTTTTAATAAAGATTTTAAGAGGGGACAAAGTAGTCAGAGAATAGTAAATCTGTTAGATGACCTTTTTTTTTTAACCAAATTTAGCATTAATTCATTTTTAAAGGCAAAATTCTCCCTGCCCAAAATGCCAACTTTGTTCTAACAACACAAAGAGGGAATAAAGAGTTAAAATAATTCCCAACACAGATTTAGAGGCTGAGCTGGGATTCAGTTTTGGAATAACCTTTCTGACAGGCAGGATTTTTTCTTGTATTGGGTTTCAATGACCAAGGCAGTTGGGGAAGTGCCAGGGGGAGGTTTCTGTCCTGCTCTGGTGGCACAAGGTGTTGAAAGAAAGAGGTAATTTGGATCCTTGATCTCTGCTTGAACTGTCACAGTCAGGTATCTATTTAAATGCATTTCTTCAAGCAGTTAAATGCTAGCAGAAGTGTTGCAATATTCAACTATTGCCAAAAATAGCCCTTTTTTTCCTTATAAAATGCAGTTTTTTGCTGCTCTGAAGCGCTGTGGCTGCAAACAGTTCAAACATTGGCCCAGGGGTGCCCTGCTGTGCTCCCTCCTCCTCCTCCAAGCCCTGTTCTCTCCCCAGGCCAGGGGGAAGAAGCGCCAGATCGGGTGGTTTCCTGCCAACTACGTGAAGCTGCTGAGCCCAGGGACCAGCAAAAGCACCCCCACCGAGCTGCCCAGGGCACCAGTGCCTGCAGGTGAGCCTGGCCTGGCCTGGCCTGGCCTGTCCTGTCCCTGTCCTTCCCTGCCCTGCCCTGTCCTACCTGCCCTGTCCTGCCCTGTCCTGTCCTGTCCTGTCCTACCTGCCCTGTCCTGCCCTGTCCTGTCCTGTCCTGCCCTGTCCTTCCCTGCCCTGTCCTGCCTTGCCCTGCCCTGTCCTTCCCTGCCCTGTCCTTCCCTGTCCTACCTGTCCTTCCCTGTCCTTCCCTGTCCTGTCCTTCCCTGTCCTGTCCTTCCCTGTCCTGTCCTGCCCTGTCCTGCCTGTCCTGTCCTGCCCTGTCCTTCCCTGTCCTGCCCTGTCCTTCCCTGTCCTGCCCTGTCCTTCCCTTCCCTCTCCTGTCCTGCCCTGCCCTGTCCTACCTGCCCTGTCCTTCCCTGTCCTGTCCTTCCCTGTCCTTCCCTCTCCTGTCCTTCCCTGCCTGCCCTGCCCTGCCCTGTCCTGTCCTGCCCTGCCCTCCTGCAGCCCCCTTGCTCCGGTCCCTGCTGTGCTCCTGCCCAGCTCAGGTGCTGCTGGGGAGCCTTTCCCTGCCCTGAGCTCTGCCTGCCCCTCTGGGGAGCTCCATTTGCCAGGTGGCATCTCCAGCTCTCCAAGGGGCACAGTTCTCTGTGCTCACTGGAGTAGAGTGGTTCTTAGAGCTGTAGAGGGGGTGGTTTTAGGGTTTTTAGAGGTTTTTTGGCACCTCTCCCACAGGGCCTTCCCAGTTTCCTCGGGGCAGTGGGAAGTGCTCCGTGGAGATGGAGCTTTTGTCTGTGTTTTGAGGTTTAGGAAACGACACAAGAGCAACAGACCATGAGATTTTTTCATGGACTTGTGGAATGGTTGAGTTGGGAAAGGACCCTAAGGATCATATTCCATGATTCTGTGTTCCTCTAACTGGTGCTCACTGGCTCCTCTGACAGAAATCTAAAGATGCAGAAAATCAGTCTTCCCCAAACCTTCACAAATTTGGGGTTAAAATGGTAAATCAGCATTGAGACTCAAACATTTACAAGGCAACATGATGGGAATTTATAGGCATTTTTGAAATTATTTCAGGTTTGACAGTCTGGGACTTTTCCCACGTGGTAAATTTTACAGAGCGAGGTTTGAAACCCTTTTTTCATTGCCTGCAGAACATCAAAATCTTGATTAAATCAGAATTAAAAAAAAAGAGAGAGAGAAGCTTTTTGGCAGATAAATATAAGTTTCTGGCCGAGTACAAGAGTGAAAATAAAAGCAAATTTTAGGATTAATCTAATGGAGAGAACCTGCCAGAAAGGCTCAGTAATAGAAGTCTTATGTCTGGTGGGAAAACAGCAGCAGTCCTGTGGCTTGGCCAGAGAAAACAGAGAGAAACAGAGGAAATTGTTTCTCTCCATGAAAGTCCTGGTGCTTCAGAGAACCAGGGAAGGTGCTCTCTTGGGATGGAGCAGGAGCAGCTGAAGGGCAGCTGGGATGGCCTGGGAGGCTTCCTGTTCCTCTCATGTTCTCCAAGATTTTTGTGTGCCAGACACTACAGGGGCATCACCAGGGGCTTTCTCTTGGATTAGGGAGCTTCAGATACTGGAATTTCAAATGTTTCCCAGATTTTCCACCCACCACTCCTGGTGGGATGTCCCAGGCCAGGTTGGACGGGGCTTGGAGCAGCCTGGGCTGGTGGAAGGTGTCCCTGCCCAGGGCAGGGGTGGCACTGGGTGATCTTTGAGGTCCCTCCCAACCCAAACCATTCTGGGATTCTGCTTTTCACAACAGGTTGTTGAAGATGCAAAATGCAGTTCTTTATAAATGGATGCTTTTGTAGAAAAAACCATATATTTATAAAGCAAAAGAGAGCTGTCAATAGAAGGCCAATGTCCTTCAAGGGTTTGACTTTCTCCTAAATATTTTTTCAATCTTCTTCCACTATTGGGCATTTCCAAACAAAGTTCCTGAGTGGAGCCAGGCTGGGAGAGCTGGGGGGGCTCACCTGGAGAAGAGAAGGATCCAGGGAGACTTGAGAGCCCCTTGCAGGGCCTAAAGGGGCTCCAGGAGAGCTGGAGAGGGACTGGGGACAAGGGATGGAGGGACAGGACACAGGGAATGGCTTCAAACTGCCAGAGGGCAGGGAGAGATGGGAGATTGGGAAGGAATTGCTGGCTGGGAGGGTGGGCAGGCCCTGGCACAGGTTGGGCAGAGCTCTAAGATTAGCTTTAAGGTCCCTCCCAACCCCATCCAGTGTATTCCATGAAACTCTTTGGGTCTTTCAATCCCCTGGAGCCAGTGTGGTGAGGGCTGAGCTGAGCACCAGGAGGGGCACAGGAGGGGGGCAGGCTGGGCTGGGTCAGGGCGGTGTCTCGGGGCTGTGCTGAGCCAAGTGCAGAGTTTGTGGCTGTTTTGTGCCCCAGGGCAGGCTCAGCTTGGAGCTCAGCACAAGGTTCTTCCCCCAGAGGGTGGTTGGCACTGCCCAGGCTCCCCAGGGCAGTGGGCACGGCCCCAAGGCTGCCAGAGCTCCAGGAGCGTTTGGGCAACGCTCTGAGGGACAGGGGGAGTGTTGGGGTGTCCTGGGCAGGGCAGGGGGTGGTCACTGGGTGGTGTGGGGGTGCCTGGGCCGCAGGAGCGTGCTGAGCGTGCTGTGTTCAGTGTGCCAGGTGATCGGCATGTACGACTACGCGGCGCAGAACGACGACGAGCTGGCCTTCAGCAAGGGCCAGATCATCACCGTGCTCAGCAGGGACGACCCCGACTGGTGGAAGGGCGAGGTCAACGGCCACGTGGGGCTCTTCCCGTCCAACTACGTGAAGCTGACCACGGACACGGACCCCAGCCAGCAGTGTGAGTGCCCCTGTGTGTGTCTCAGGTCAAACATGCAGCATTGCCGGCTCCGAGGCTCGCAGGCCCCGCCGCCCCTCTGTGCCCTCGGCCGAGTCTCTTTGAAGACCTTCCTAGCGCAGCCCTTTGTGTTGGTTTATTTTCAGTTCCCATCCCCCCCCATGCCCCCCCCACTCCCGGCATGTTTTCCTCCCCCTCCCTCCCCTCCCCAGTCATTTTTGCTCCATGCCCTCGACACGCCTGACTCATTTTCCTTGCTTGAATTTGCTCATTGTTTTGTTTTGCTTATGTGTTGTTTTCCTCCTTTTTCTAGGAATCATATGTTGTCCATCCCCCACTCAGGCTTGAAAGTCCTCAAAGAGACCCACTATCCCATAACAGTGCCCAGAGGGATGATGGGAGATGCAGCCTTGATCATGTGGCTTCCAGCATGATCATCTACTGCCTTCTGAGTAGAAGAACACACTGCAGAGCAGTTTTACCTCATTTTTCCATTAGTTGCATGGAATCGCAATGGTTGAGCTCATGACCTGCAGATAGATGCAAAAATTAATTATTAAAAAAAAAAAAAAAAAGAACCAAAAACAAAAACAAAAACAAACACACACACACACACGAAAAAATAAAATTTAAAAAAAAAAATAAAAAAATAAAAATCAGAGGATAGTGGGTCCTTTTGTGGCTTTCAGAGTTACCAAACTAATGTTTCCACCTTTGCACAGGTGCTTTGGGTAGTTTTAAAACAACTATTTTTTAAAGATATATTTTAGCCTTTGGAAGGAAAAGTATAAATTAAATTTCTTCATTGCAATTTTTTTGGTTGTGCAAAAAGACCCACTATCAAGGAATGCTGCATGTGCTATTAAAATTGTTCCAAATGTCCATGAATTGGAGACTTTATGTATCTTCCTTTTTTTTATTGTTCACTTGTCCAGTGTTGTCAATATGTCTCTTTTTTTTTTTTTTCCGGGTTGTTTGTTTTGTTGTTTTTTTTTTTTTGTTAATGACAAAAGACCAGAAGGAGTTCCAATGAGTTCCATGTGCCCAGGGGCAGGTGTTTTGGCGTGGTTATTGTACTGTGTGTGTCAGGTGTTGCCTGTTGAGTGTGTAACCCGTGGGGGAGAGCAGGAATCCCTGCCCGCGCACGAGAGCCGAGCTCGCGAGATGTTCCACCCGCTCGTGTCGATTTTATTTTGCACATTTCCTGTAGCTGCAAACAGTCAGAAGCCCCTGGTTTGTGCCGTGCCCTTTGGCTGGCTGCATTTCGGTGCCAGCAGGACCCTCCTGGGCACTGGGGCAGCTCCCGGGGTCGCTTTGCTGGGGAACGGCACGTTTGGAACGAGCCCTTTTCCTGACAACAAAGAATGTATAGAACTATCTCCCTGCAATTAATTTCCAATGTTTACATTTTTTTAAACTAGACTGTGGAATTTATACGAATTAATATGAAATGGAGCTTACAGTGGAGTTGCTGTAGATGTGCTGTAGCTAAGCCGTGTTAGTTCCTGGTGGAATTCCTGGTGCTGTCAGTGCTCTCCTCCCGATGCCTCAAGCACAATGTAGCCCTTTACTAATGATTTGCCCTTTAGTTATGCCCTGGTTCTGTGTTTCATTTACTCCTGAACCCCCTGCTGGCAGCATTCCCACCCCGACCCGTCCTGCGGTGCAAGGGACAAGTGAAGCTCCTCATTCAATTGCACTTCAGTATTTCATCACTATGAATGTAAATTATATAAATATATAAAAACCTGCAGCTTTAACAACTGTAATACAGCCTTTCAAATTAGTTCCATGTATAGAGAATTAAATCCTTGGTATAAAAGACAGACCCGCATGTGTTTGTTGTCTCGTTGCTGCATTGGAGCGTGGATGGACTTGCCACCAGAACAGCCTGGAAAGCCCTTTTCACTTTTTCACTGTGACACTCTGAATTTTATTTAAATATATTTAAATATAACTAATCAAAAATTCTCTGCAAGCTTACTGCTCACGATGGGATTGTTGGGGTGTCCTGGGCAGGGCCAGGGGCTGGGCTCCATGATCCCAGGGGGTCCTCCCAGCTCAGGAGATCCTGGGATTCTGTGATTCCCTGTTCCAGGGTCTCTACATGGTACAAATCCCTTGAGTTTTATTTTGCTGTGCTATGCAGGTAGATAAATGAGATATCCTTCCTCGTTCTCCCATGGGTTTACCTGGATCTGGGCTCGGTGTTTTAGTCTGAAAACTTGCACAGTTGGACTGATCCTCCTCCTTTTTAGAGCAGAATTTAACACCACAAACTTTTCATTAGGATAGCATTTAACAGGCACAAATTTTTCATTCCTACCATAAAAAAAAATTAATTCTTCTCCATGGTGCTGCAGAAATGTAACAGCACCTCATATTTGTGATTCTCAGGGCCCGTTGCTTTGCTCACTGAGGAGGATGGAGCCAGATTGGACCCCCCTCTGCCACTCTTTTGTGCATTAAATGTCACTGGAATGACAGGATGTCTCTGTTCTCCCACACTGAGCTGTGGGGTTGAAAAATTCACTTGACTGAAAGCATTTCTCCTGAGGGACTTTTTGGGTTTTCTGGCTTCAGCCCAGAAATATGCAGTGAGCAGACAGTGAATAAATGAGGACTGTGGAGTGAACAGGCAGTGAATATACAGGGAAATGTTTGCAAAACTTCAGCTGGGGGGGGATTCAGGTGCTGCTTTTTTCTTTCTCATTACTTCAAGTGAGAAGGAAAATAAAGCTCTTACAGCCTCCTGCAGGATGATGTTTTGAAGATGTTTTGAAGATGTTTCTCCCAGCCCATGGATCCCCCTGTGCCCCATCCCCACCTTGTCCCCCAGCCCAGAGCACTGAGTGCCACGGCCAGGCCTGCCTTGGACACCTCCAGGGCTGGGCACTCCAAACCTCCCTGGGCAGCCCCTGCCAAGGCCTGACCACCCTTGCCAGCAACAAATTCCTCCTGATGTCCAGCCTGAGGCACAGGAGCCACTGGGGTGGGTTGTGCCAGGACTCCTCAGGCAGAAGGGTGTAAAGTTCCATCACTGAACACGTCCCAGCCAAAGATGCTCAGCTGTGATTTACAGTGACATTGTTGGAATGCCTGTAATGTTCATCCATGATTCCAGTTCCAGCTGTGCTCCTAGAGCTTGGCAGGGGAGTGTTCCATCGTCCTCACTCTCAGGGATTTCCCTGAGCCGTAGGGAACAAGACACTGCCCTGACTCCTTTGCCTTTCTGGATCTTCTGTGTATATGTACACATATATAGATATAAATATGAGATAAAGGGAGTATGAAAGTAATTCCCAGAGAAGCTGTGGCTGCCCCTGGATCCCTAGCAAGAGTCCAAGGCCAGGTTGGACAGGGCTTGGAGCACCCTGGGCTGGTGGAAGGTGTCCCTGCCCGTGGCAGGGGTGGCACTGGGTGGGCTTTGAGGTCCCTCCCAACCCAAACCATCCTGGGACTCTGTGAATTCATTCTTTAAATTCACTGCCAAGTCCTGGGCACAGGAGCTGCCACTGGAGGGATGAGGAGCCTGGATTTACAGACCACTCCCAGTGCTGGGGGATTTTGCTCTTCCCATTTTTTTCTGTATTCAACTGCTGAAAACAAATTCCCATGGATGTTCTTTCAGGGAATTCGTTCATATCTCTTTCAATACTTGAAACCTGTCCAGAACAACTCAGAGTCTGAAATTTGTGGTTTGTCAAGAACATTTTGCTTTATATTCGGGCTCAGTTTTATTTAAACCTCAATCATTTTGGAGCTTCAGTGGCATCACTTTCTGTCCCCATGAGCTCACTGAACACCTGGTGTTACCATAACCTAAATAATTCTGGGGCTCTGGTTCTAAAGCCCTTTGCAGAGCTCTGTGCTGACTGGCTCTGGCTGTTGGGTTTCTTGTCAAGCAGCAGCCCCTGTGCAGTCTCTCCTGATGACAGTGAGTGCCTTATTTCAAACTTTATGTTTGACAACTCCACCAAATTCAGGGGCAACACTCCTCAAATATTATTGAATCAGATGAATTGACACCAACAGCAAATAACAAACTGCTCCTTGGCTGAGCAGGGAGTGCTGAGGACACCCCAACACTCCCCCCTGTCCCTCAGAGCGTTGCCCAAACGCTCCTGGAGCTCTGGCAGCCTTGGGGCCGTGCCCACTGCCCTGGGGAGCCTGGGCAGTGCCAACCACCCTCTGGGGGAAGAACCTTGTGCTGAGCTCCAAGCTGAGCCTGCCCTGGCACAGCTCCAGCCCTTCCCTGGTCCTGTCCCTGCTCCAGGTGATGGCTGGAGGGCTGCCCAGGAAAGGGAAAACCAATAAAATACTGTTTGATAAAAGGTTTGAACACTTGATTTAGCTTCCACGTTCCCCATTCCAAGGGAAGAGCCTGCACAGCCCCTCGATTTTCACGGCAGACCCTCTGGAATTGGGCTGGGCACTTCCCTGGCTCTGTGGCTGCTGCTCGAGGCTCATTTGCTGGTTCTGCCCATCAGTGCTCAGGGCTCCTAATTCAGAGGTGAGGTTTAAAGTGATGTGGGAGGAACCAAGCCAGGACAGGGTTAACTCTGCTGGTTTATATTTCTGTGCCCTCACACGTAGGATTTTATTCTCCCCAAGCAGAGAAAGATCTGGAAAGGGATCAGTAGAAACATGGAATCATGGACTCGTGAAGGTTGGAAAAGACCCTTAGGATGACATCAAGTCCCACCCTCAGCCCACCACCACCACCATGGTCACCATCAAAACACATCCCCAAGTGCCACATCCACTCGTGTTCTGAACACTTGCAGAGGGGGTGATGCCACCAGGCTGGGAGGTGTGTGCAGATGGAGTTGTGCTGGTGATTCCAACTTATCAGTTGTCATTTCCCAGCCTTTCCTGACCCTGATTGTAGCCAAGAACTGCCCAGAGAAGCTGTGGCTGCCCCTGGATCCCTGCAAGTGTCCAAGGCCAGGTTGGACGGGGCTTGGAGCACCCTGGGCTGCTGGAAGGTGTCCCTGCCCATGGCAGGGGTGGCACTGGGTCCCTTCCCCTTAAAGGTCCCTTCCAACCCAAACCATTCCATGATTCTTTGATCAGTGGGATTCAGATGTTCATGGAAGTCCTTTGGCATCCATGAAGAATGAGCCCTGACATTTCCACTTGGAAAGGAACCCAGTTTTTCTCCAGTGTTTTTATTCCAAAGACAAGGAAAATCTCTGTACTTGTGCACCTCAGGAAGAAAGTCCTTCATCAGGGAACTCTCCTGCACATTCTGCTCAGATTTGGGCCATCTCCCCCAAATATTTCTTGTCCAAGAGGAGACCATTTGTTGCAGTTCAGAACAGCCCATTCACATCCCAGCTGTCAAACGAGCTGCTAAAATATTTCCCTGTTCAGAATGTCACTGCTTCCTCTGAAAGGCTGGTGGTTGAAAACAGCCCTTCAAGCCAAGGCCATCGGATTCTTTGAACAGTAAATTCCAGAGGGAAAAATAATTAAACACTTGGCTCGCTTTTCATGAAGCCAACAGTGCAAGGGGAGAACTGGTCCTGCTCCTCAAACCTCTGCTTTTCCTGATACCAAAGAAACTGCTCTGAAATCAGGCATTTATTAAACAGAAACAAAACTTGTGGCTTCTGCAACGGGCCAAAATTTGTTTATTTTGGCATAGAAATGATAATTCTCCAGAGCTGCTTTTTATTTCTAGCCAAGTTTCAAATCAGTTTCAGTTGTCAAGGGCTGTGAGGTCCCGAATCTCAAGGGATCATCATCAACATGTGCTGCCACTCTGATCCCTCCCCAGCTTCAGAATCAGAGAGGAAACAACCTCGAGTGTCTGTATCTACTTTTCTGGGTTTGTCTGGTTTGATTTCGGGGTTTTTTGTTAATTTTTAAGTCAAATCTCCCTTTTCAGGAGCACAGATGAGTTAAAGCAGCCAGTGATGGCATTCCATGAAAATAAGGGGGCTACACGAGGGCCTTTTTAGTGGCACAGTCTGAGCTCCTGAGTTACATTCAGGAAGCTAAAAAATGCAGTAAATACTCCCTAAATATTAACTTTATATGCAAAGAACTGGAAGAGTTGTCCAGGGTCTCATGTTTCCAGAAGGAAGGTTTGTTTCCTTGGGGAATATACTCAATTTACCCAGACTTTGGTGAGGGGTGAGGGAAAGAATTAAACTGCAGAATTTTTGGTGGTGTAAAAATAGTTGAAATAAATCATTTATACAGGAAACCCTTTTCCCCCTGTTTGAAATCACCTTTGCTTTTTTGAAATGTGTTGTATTTTCTGCCAAAAAGCAGTAAAAATAGTCAAAACTGGAAGACAACACTCTGTGTTCTCAGAAGAATTGCATTAAACTCACCTGAAAAGTAACAGCCTAGAGGAAAAAAAAAAAAAAAGGGATTAAATGTTGGGTCTAATTCAGCATAGAAAATAAAACTTGAGATTGTGGAATTTGTACAAAAAGTCTCCCAGCTACACAGGAGGTGATTTACAGCAGTTAAAACTGATGGAAGTGAGTTCTTAGTGACAGCCTTTTCCTGTGCTTCCAAAGGAGAAAAAACTCGACCCCTTTGCCTCGGCCTGGAAATTCGGGAAATGTGAGGGGTCTCCAAAGACCTTCCTGGGTCTTCAGATACTTAGTCCTTCAAACATTCAGAAGCAGTTTTTAATTGGTTAATTTTTAAATTTAATTTTTGAGTGGGAAGAGGTAAATAAGCTCTGCAGCCCCTTCTGGAGGGGGATTTCCCTGACTGGAAGGCTGAAGGAGACCCTGGAATTCGGAGTATCCATGAGCGGAGGGTCCCCGGTCATTCCAAAGTGCCATGGGAGCGTTGTGCCCACTGCAGCTCTTCCCTAACCCTCTCCCCTTTGGGGATGTCTCTGCAGTTTCTTCCCACCACAGGAGGTTCTTGCCCCCGTTTTTGTTCCCAGCCATCCACGTGGGATTGCTTTGGGCTCCGTGGAATGACACAGCTCAGGGGATGGCGAGGGGGAAAATGGGCAGGTGGCCCTCAGGGGGGTTTAAAGCTTGGTCAGCAGGGAAAAGTTCACTCTTAGAGAAGGCCTTTGATCAGAAAAGGTGTCAAACCAGTGCTGGGAGTGGCCAGAGGGAAGCACCGCTGAGGTTGTGCCCTCACCTGTGAATGAGCAGCGTTCCTGGGCAGCGTTGCTGCAGCTGCTCCAGACTGAGTCAGTTCATCAGGAACCATCGGTAAACCCCGGGATCCTGTTGTGTTTTCCAGGGTGTGCAGACCTGCACCTGCTGGACATGCTGACTCCTACGGAGAGGAAGAGGCAGGGCTACATCCACGAGCTCATCGTCACCGAGGAGAACTACGTCAACGACCTGCAGCTGGTCACCGAGGTGAGGCAGAGACCCCAACCCTCCCCCTGAGCTGAACCAGCCACTTCACCCTGCCCCCTTCCTGGCTGCCCCTGCCCTTCAGGGGTATCTGTTCCTTCAGGGATCCTTCAGGGATCCTTCAGGGATCCTTCAGGGATCCAGGTGTGCGGGTGCAGCTCATGCTGAGCCCTGCTGTGACCGTCACCGAAGTGCTGATGTGTGGAGTGTCATTTGAGCAAAGCTCCCAACTCTCAGTGGGGATTTTTCGTGTACAAGTCCTTAAACTGAAGTGGCTGTCCTGACAGGAAGCCCATTTTCCACGCTCACAGTGGCCCTTGGTTATCACTTGCTGTGGTGCTTTACGTGTTCCAAGGGACATCCCTGACGTAGGAAACAATGGAATTGGCACAGACAATTCTTTTGGCACTGAAGCAAAGCCCTGTTTTGGAGAAGAGGTCAAGATATGCAAACCTGAGACACTCTGGGAGAAATCAGAACTTCCATAAGAGTCCAAAGGAAAACATATTTGAGGTGTATTGTCTAAGAAATCCTGAGACCTTTTGCAGGAGACCCCTCTCTGAAATTCCCGGGTTTCAAACAGATTATCCAGATCAGAACTAACATTCCCAAGTTTCAAACAGATTCTCCAGGTCTGAGTGACCACCACCAGCACCACAAATTCAGAGTATTCCCTGTTAAAGCCACATGGCCCTCACATCTCTGAGGTCTCCCCTTAGTCCCACCCATTCTCAGGGAACACAGGGGATGTCTGGGACACAGAGCAGGGTGGAATTCTGTCCCCCTGAGGGACAGATGCTGCCCTGATGGCAAGTTGTCTCCCCTCCTCACTAAGGAGAAGGGCCCAGTCAGCCTCAGTCACCTGGGTTATACATGTACATTCTAAATGGCTTCATTTTCTGACCCTGCAGATCTTCCAGAAGCCACTCATGGAATCTGAGCTGCTCACAGAGAAAGAAGTCGCCATGATTTTTGTTAATTGGAAGGAGCTGATTATGTGCAATATAAAACTACTGAAGTAAGTTGGGTTTTTCCCCCATACTTGGCAATAACAGGACCCTGGGCCTCTGCCCTGCCCCTCCTTCCAGCTGCAGGAAAACATTTGCCACGTACACAACTCACAACCACCAGGGCCACCTGTTTCTCCTTGTGGGAAAAAGCAAAATATGAACAGTGTTTGCTGTGACTTTGTTGTTGTTGTTGTTGTGGTGGAAAACCCAGCAGTTCTCTGCTGAGTAAATATTTGCACTTACTTTCTTCTTGTCCCTGTGCTCCAGAGGGCAAACCCTGCTCTCCCCTGAGAAGCAGCATCTGCCAAGGCCTCCCACAGCCCTGGCACAGGCTTTGGCCTCCTCTGTGCCAGCCCACACCACTTCCAGTGCCCTTATCCATGACTGCAAACCAAGGCACAGCAACCTCTGTTACAGCTCTTAGTCCGAGCTGGCACCTGCATTCCATTAATTAGCGTGGCCTTTAATTAGTGTAGGGTTATAGCACCTGAATGTGCTGACTGGGGAGGAGCAGGAATTCTTCCTGGCCTCTGAGGGATCCAGTCTGGATCAGGACACAGGGATGCTGTGGCTGGTTTGCAGGCTGCTCACCTGCTCACTGCCAGAGAACCTGAGCGGGGAGGGAGTTAAACCTGTACCCTGATAAGCAAAAGGATTAATAAAGTTCTTTTTTTCCCCTGATGAGCTGCTAATTTTCATTGAACTTACAGGGATTTTATACCTCTGTGATATCTCCTGTTTTTTGTAAAACCTTCTGAAAATGGCCCACAAGTTGAAGAGTTTTGGCAGTGCCAGGACAAATGACAATAAACCTCCTTCCCTTGGGAAACCAGGCTAAAGCCTGGAGAAGTGGCTTTGAGCTCACGGACGATTTTTATCCCTCCCTCTCTCACACGTCAGTTCTTCTCTTTCTAAACTAACAGAAAAGGAAATTACCTTCCTTTTTATATCAGATCTGGTCTGGCTTTGCATTAAAGGAGTGTCCAGCAGCGGCTGGAGGGGGCTCTGAGAGGACAAGGTGCTGGCTGGGGGTGCAGCCTCCACTGTTGTGTTCCTGCCATGTGTCCTCCAAGCCTGGGGGCTGGGCTGCTCGTGTGACCCCCTGTGCCCCCCTGTGCCCCCTTGTGACCCCCCTGTGCCCCCTGTGACCCTTAATGACCCCCGTGACCCCTGTGCCCCCCTGTGCCCCTTTATGACCCCCCGTGCCCCTGCCCGCGCAGGGCCCTGCGGGTGCGGAAGAAAATGTCCGGGGAGAAGATGCCGGTGAAGATGATCGGGGACATCCTGACGGCCCAGCTGCCCCACATGCAGCCCTACATCAGGTTCTGCAGCTGCCAGCTCAACGGGGCCGCCCTCATCCAGCAGAAGACGGACGAGGTGCCCGAGTTCAAGGAGTTCGTCAAGGTGAGAGCGGGAGCGGATGATCCCGGGGGGTTCCGCGCTCCGGGCTTTGCCTCTGGCTGAGCGGGGTCACACCTGCACTGGGGTGCTCAGCTTTGGGCTCCTCGCTTGAGAAGGGAGCTGGGAAGGGGCTGGAGCAGCAGGAGGGGCTGAGGGAGCTGGGGGGGCTCAGCCTGGAGAAAAGGAGGCTCAGGGGGGACCTTCTGGCTCTGCAACTCCCTGACAGGGAGTGGTCAGGCCTTGCAAGAAGTGTCCCAGGGAGGTGGTGGAGTCCCTGTGTCTGGGAGTGTCCCAGAGGTGTCTGGATGTGGCCCTTGGGGACGTGGATCAGGGGTGACTGTGGTGGTGCTGGGTGAGGGGGGAACTGGGATTCCTACACAGACAAGGCAGGTGAAGATCTGCTGCAAAAGCAGGAGGAGTTCACTCCCCTGTGAGCTCAGCCCAGCTTTAGCCAGGGATGGGTGCTCGTTTACTGCCTTTTCCTTTCTTGGAGGATCTCTTTTTCCCGGGTTTACACCAAGTGACTAACCAGGTTTTACCTCTCCGATGTTTCAGAGGTTGGCAATGGATCCTCGCTGTAAAGGAATGCCACTCTCCAGTTTTCTACTAAAGCCTATGCAACGGGTAACCAGATACCCACTAATCATTAAAAACGTACGTCCTGTGCACAGCCCGGGTTTGCTCTGCTTGGCTTAGAGCTTCATCAGGGCCACTGTCCCTGTTTGTGTCGAGCTCTGTCACTGTGGGATGGCAGATGTGCTGGGGAATGGGGGGTGTCCTTTGATCCAGCTACAGAAAATGGGGTCATTCCTTGGCCTTCAGCAGAACTTGGCATTTCCATTTGAAACAGAGGTGGGACTTGCACCCAAAGAACCACAGGGCAGTGAATGCTGAAGGAAAACTTCAAATTCTGGTAGCAGGAGTCAAGCTTGTGCTCTTATTTCCCTTTTCCACAGTGTCATTCCCTCCCCACAGGCTGGGAAATGACACGGTGGGGAAGCCTGGAAGCCAAATTCCTGCAGGTTCCCATCCTTTGACTCCGCTGGATAACTTACAACCCTCTCCTAACTCATTTGCTGCCTAACACTGACCACCCCAAATAATGCCACTGAACGTGGCCCAAGGCTTTCCAAGGAAAGGGCTACGGATTGGATGTTGGCATTTCAGAGATTCCTTCAAGAGTCGTGGCCATGATTTCTGTGTTTGGCTGGAATGTGTGTCCCTGTGTCAGAGGAGTCAGCAGTGTCCTGGTGCAAAGGCTGTGCAGCCAGGGATTCATTCCAGCTCTTCCCAAGTAGTGTTTGTCTCCTGTTTCTCACCTGTCGGGGAGGAAGAATATTTGGAAGGTGTTGTCTGGCTCTGACGGAAATAAAGCACTAGAACGGAATTGTGGGGTCGGCAGTGCAAATCCAGCTGAACTGCAGTGACAGAGCAGCCTGACAAGGTGCTTTGTGTCTCTGCAGATAATAGAGAACACTCCTGAGAACCACCCTGACCACAGCCACCTGAAGCACGCCCTGGAGAAGGCCGAGGAGCTTTGCTCCCAGGTCAACGAGGGCGTGCGCGAGAAGGAGAACTCGGACAGGCTGGAGTGGATCCAGGCCCACGTGCAGTGTGAGGGCCTCTCCGAGGTAAACCAGGGCTCCCCAGGGACCTGCAGGCGTGGGCAGCCTCGGGAACAACCCCCAGCTCCCTCATGGCACTGCATCCAGGCCAAAGAGCGGGACTGAGCCAGTCTCACAATCCCCAGCCCTTCGTTTTCCCCTTTCCTTGTCTCCCTCTCGCTCCCGCACGTGACCCTTTTTGCTGCTCGTGTTCTTGCCTTCCCCCTGGTAGACCCTGCTTTGTTGCCTGGCTCTGGACTAATCCCAGGTTCAGTGCTGCAGTTTTCAACCACAACTCTCCACTTTCACAGTTCTTTATAGCACGGTGGTTGTGGAACTGCTGTGTCCCACCCCGAGCTATTCCTGCCCACTCTGGAGTGCTTTAAAGGTCATCACAGGACAGATTTTCTGTGGTAAAGCTTTGTGTACTTTTGAAAACTCAAGAATACTGATCAGGTCTCTCTGGAGACTTTACAGAGAGAGTCCCTGCCTCCCATTCCGTGTTATTTTTTCAGGTAACATGCTAATTTTCACTAGAAACTATATTGAAAACATTGTGCCTGTGTGTCCTGCAAAATGAGGGGGGAAAGTTTTGATGGCTTTCCTTTGTTGGTGATGATAACAGAGGCAGACAGATCACAACTTGGTTTTCAAAGTATGCACCCAGTTCTCAGTTCTAGAAGGTAAAAAAATAACAAGCACTGGTTGGTTTACAAACTGGAAAAACATCGTATTTCACCCCCAGAAATCTGACTGTTTGGGGAGAAAGATGAGTGTGACAAGGTCAGGAGGGTCAAAGACATTCAGCTGTGGGACAACCACTGCCTGTGGAAGGTGGCTGCTTTTATCTTTTGTGGGTGATGTCTGGCCCTAGAGCACCAAACCTACAACCTGAAAGACCCTCTGGCTGCTTTTATCTGCCGCAGTAACTGCAGCAGCACAGCCTCAGCTGCGTGGAAGGAGCAATCCAACCTTCCCTGATTCTGTCCGAGGGGTTCCCAACCTGTCCAAGGAGCCAGCCCTGCTCCAGCCGCCCAGGCAATGTGGGTGGTAAGAACTGTTCCACCCCCTGCTGAAAATAAACCTGGAAACGGCGCCTTAGGGAAGGGCCAGACCCTGCTGGTGTGGGAACAGCCCCTGGGTGGGGCTGCCCTTCCGCCACTCCCGGTGTCAGCAGCTGCCCTGGAGTTCCTTTGGGGTGCTTCAGGGGCTAAAATTCAAGCACAGTTCGAAGTCCAGACCTTGTTAAGGATGCCCAGGTTCCAGAGAGGCTGATGGCAGAGGTGCTGCTGCTCCTCCAGGGCAGGTCCTCGTGGGCTCAGCTCCACTCCCACCGGTGCATGTGCGTGGGGAGGGGGCACAGACGCTTTTGGCTTCTCCCTGAGTGCCCAGGCCGTGCCTGTGTGATGATGGGCCGCCCTAAAGCCACTTTTCATGCAGCCTTTTCTGACCTGCACTGCTTGTCCCGCTCCTCGTCCTGTGCCCCGGATCAGGCCCAGCGCCAGGACTCACAACTGTGTCTGGTCTCTTTCAGGGGGACCCCGATTGTTTCACTTTATACAGTGCGTTGTTGTTCTTCTTCTACTTTTCGCAGCAACTCGTATTTAACTCAGTCACAAACTGCCTGGGACCACGCAAGTTCCTGCACAGCGGGAAGCTCTATAAAGCCAAGAGTAACAAGGAGCTCTATGGTTTTCTGTTCAACGACTTCCTCCTGCTCACTCAGATCATAAAACCCCTTGGCTCCTCGGGCACGGACAAGGTGTTCAGCCCCAAGTCCAACCTGCAGTACAAAATGTACAAAACTGTGAGTACCTCTCTGAAAGGGGGGCGGTGACAGGCCAGGGGTGTAGGGCAGCAGCTCCCTGCGGGGGCGTGGGCAAGACCCTCCCAGAGGGAAGCTTCGAAAGCTTTGGGATATGCTGGGCCTTCCAGGGACTGATGGGGAGAAAGTTTGCGTGCTTTAGTGGGAAAACAAAACATGTTCTGCTGGAACAAACCTCTCCAACAAAGCGTCGCTTGCGTCAGGCAGCGATGGGGAGGGCGGAGTTCGCTGCTCTCTGTGGGGAAGGAGGGATTGCTGTGCTCCAGGAGCCTGCTGGCTTCCTCCAGGACAAGTGTTTCCAGACTCTGGAGGCACCTCTGTCTTTGCCCAGTTTTAAAATGTTCTCATTACCAGGCCTGAGGAAAGATGGGAGGCAGAAGGGCAGAGGCACTTCAGATAAAGCTGTTGTCACTTGCTGTGTGTTGAAAGCACCTGCTCAGACGTTGTGCAGTACAACTCTGGCTTTGCCTGATGTTTTACAGCCCATTTTTCTAAACGAGGTACTGGTAAAATTACCCACAGACCCTTCTGGAGATGAGCCCATCTTCCACATCTCCCACATTGACAGAGTCTACACCCTCCGGGCTGAAAGCATCAATGAGAGGTAGGAGTCTCCAAAGGCCACGCTGGGGGGGGATTTGGGAAATCTGGTGCAAATGGAGGATGGGAATGGTTATGGTGGAAACTTGCAGAGCGGTTCTCCAAGCAGTTTTCTTTTACAAGACTGGAAAATTCCTTCTTCTTGAGAATATGGTGATATATGAAAAGCAGGGAGAAATAGTGATGTTTCCTGAATTCCAGCAAGAATGAGATGTCTGGGAGGGTGGGTATTTAGGCCGTATTTCACAGCATTTTATGTTCATGTGAAGAAGCCCAAAGATGCAGTTGTGTCTTCTGTTACCAGCTCTGTGTCTGTGTGCAGTGACAGCATTTGTGTGGCTGTTGAAGGGATCAGGTCAGGATTAGAATTTGAAGCAAAACCTACCAAACTAAACCCAGTGAGTTGATCTTGTTCAGTTCAGACTGAAAAAGTCAAGGGAAAGGCAATCTTAAAACCTGAGCTGATGGGTTGTATCTCTGGTGAGTTTACAGAGAGAAGCCTACACTGATTTCTACTGAAAAGGTTTCTCTTCCCCAGCATAAGGTCTTGAAAGGTAACTTTTGTTAAAAACTGAAAGCTGGAAGTGCAGCAATGCCCTCCCCATAGTGCAGACATTGTGCTGTGCCAGCTGGGAAATGTCTGGCCCCGAAACATTCTCGGGCACAAAATGTATGAAACATCTTGAGGCCGTGGCTGGGGCCAAGGGCTGGACTCAGTGATCCTCGTGGGTCCCTTCCCACTCAGGGCATCCTGTACTTCTGATTCTTAGGGATGAAAGGATTCCCCAGAAGGGCCCATAAGACACTGTGCCCATTCACCATCCGTGCACCCCCCAAGTTATGTTTTAAATGTCCCAAGGGCCAAAGGATTTTAGGATGAAACCTCAGGGATCAAGGAGAGGGGCCACCTCTGCAACCCAGGTGTCTTGCACCTACTGGCTGCAAGAAGTTCATTATAATAAAGCAAAGGGCTTGCTGAAGGCAAACCTGTTCTTTCCACCTTTTGGGTTCTCACCAGGTGGCTCCTGCTTGTGGTTCTGTTGAGCTTGCTTTGTGTGGTGGGGTCTGCCGGCTTGGGATGATTCCGTTCCTGCAGGTGCCATAAATTCCAGGAAGATCTCCTTCCAGGCAGAGAGCTCTGGGACAGCAGAGGCTGGGATGGGGCCGGAGCCTTGGCTGGGAAGGAGGGGCAGCTTTAGTTTTCTGTCTGCTGTGCTCCAGCAAGGGACAATGGAAATGGCATTTTGCAACTTTGTTTTCTCCTTTCCTCCCGAAGGACCGCCTGGGTTCAGAAGATCAAAGCTGCTTCAGAACTTTACATAGAGACTGAAAAGAAGAAGAGGGAAAAGGCCTACTTAGGTACAGCATAGGATGAGGGGGTCTCCTCTTTCGTGGAGAAGTCCATGGGCAGGGAAATGCGTTGATGACTTTTCCCTCTCTTCTGTTTCACCGCAGTTCGCTCGCAAAGGGCAACCGGCATCGGGAGGCTGATGGTGAATGTGGTGGAGGGCATCGAGCTCAAACCCTGCAGGTCCCACGGTGAGTGCTGGGGTTTCTCAGAACATGCTCCCTCGAAGGGACATTCCCACTTGTCAGCCTGACTCTGGGGGAGCTGCTTCCCAAACACACCTGTGTTCAGTGACGTGGGTCTAACCCAGTAAAATACGAGCAGTGACTTTGTACAGCTCAGCTGTTGTCCCGCAGTTGTCCTGCATCAGGCATTTGGTTCAGGCTGACTTGGTTCCCACCACATCAGCCACATCCCAAGGGGTCACAAGGCACAAAGTCCTGCAGGGGAGCAGTGTGTTCATTGTGATGTTCATGGAGTTCACCCCAAGGGCAGTGAAGCCGAGGTCTTTCCCTCCTCGGTTGGCTGTAGGAGTGGAAGGAGATTGAGGACGAGGATCACACTGTTCTGTTTGTCCCAGGAAAGAGTAACCCCTACTGTGAGGTGACCATGGGCTCCCAGTGCCACATCACCAAGACCATACAGGACACCCTGAACCCCAAGTGGAATTCCAACTGCCAGTTCTTCATCAAGGACCTGGAGCAGGACGTGCTCTGCATCACGGTGTTCGAGCGGGACCAGTTCTCCCCGGACGGTGCGTAGGGGCTGCCAGAGGGATTGTCCAACCTCCTGCTTTGAGGAGGTGCATTTCCATGAGGGAAGTCATAGGGAATGGGTTGGGTTGAAAGATGGTTTTTAAAGATAGCCAAATTTGAACCCCTTTGCATACTGGGAGATGGCTCCACCCTTGCTCCCTGGTGGAGTTGTGCCGGTATCAGTGCAAAAAGAATCTGTCTCTCTCTGGTTTTTGGGAGTTTCTTTTTTTGTGCAACTTGGCAACAACTGAAGTGTGATTTGTAACTCTGCTAAGTCTCAAAAAAACCCTGGATGCTGTTTGCAAACAGATTGATTCCTGCAGGAGGAAGATAAATGCCTCCAGGTTCCTGTTATGTGCAGTAACAGTGGCAAAGATGAACCCAGGATTCCAAACCCAGTAGAATCATGGGATGGTTTGGGTTGGAAGGGACCTTAAAGATCACCTAGTTCGACCACCTGCCCTGGGCAGGGACACCTTCCACCAGCCCAGGTTGCTCCAAGCCCTGTCCAACCTGGCCTTGGACACTTCCAGGGATGGGGAGTCCACAGCCTCTCTCAGTCTAATTTCCTAACTGGGATAAGCATGTGGAGCATCAGTGAGTGTATTTTGGAGCCGCAATCTCCCAGGCAGTGCTTGGATAGGACCAGCACTGCCATGGCCAGCACCACTTGGCCGGGTGACCTTGTTGCTGTTGTGAGGCACTGCTTGGCTCTGCCATCTCCAGAGGGTTCACACTCAGGATTAACTGTGCAGCAGCTTTCAGCCTTTTTCTAACACGTCATAAAACCCAGAGGTCACTGGAGTGAGGCAGCTGTGAATTCCGTAGGGGGGTTTCCACATGTTTATTTTGAATGCTGCTGCTGTGTGACATGGTCTGGCTAAACCCTCCTCTTGGAGCCTGGCAGCCTTTGGCCCTTGTCACTGAAGACTTGTGTCTTCCTTTTGTTGTGTGGGGGTGGAACTTTAGTCCCTCCTCCCAACTCCGGTCGTGCTGTTCCTGAGCGTTCCCTCTTTTTGCCTCCCAGACTTCCTGGGCAGGACGGAGATCCGCGTGGCCGACATCAAGAAGGATCAGGGTTCCAAGGGGCCGGTCACGAAGTGTCTCCTCCTGCACGAGGTGCCGACGGGCGAGATCGTTGTGCGGCTGGACCTGCAGCTGTTCGACGAGCCGTAGGAGGGGCTCTTGGGGTCCAGTCGAGTCCGCTGCGATCCGTCGGTGTCCGCGGGAGCTGCCGCAAAGTCCTGGCCGGCGCGGCAGGAAACCACTGCTCGCCCTTCGCGCCTCAGAGGGTTATCAAAGCAAACAGGAGCATCTTTGTGCCTTGATAATTCTCACTGACAACATGAATCCCCGGTTTGGCGAGGAGATCTCCCTCAATCTCTCCGTGTGGGACTTGGCGCTGGTCTCCCGGGTGGATGAAACGACCCTGTTTGTTCCTTGTAGCTCCGGTGGGAACGGCTGGCAAACCACAGAGGTGGCTGCGCTTGCTCCAGTTGCCCTACTCTTGAATTTCCATGGAGAAGGCAATGTTGGGGTGTTTGGGAGGCTTTCTGCAGGGCTTTCCCATGAAGGAATTCTGTGCCTACTGCTCAGCAAAGTGGGGTGTAAATCGGACGTGAGTGGAAGGAGCGGTTTTGCAGCAAGAAGGTCTTTGAAGATCTTCGTGATGGTACTGAAAAGACTTAGAAAATAAATAGTCTATATCTATAAACAGAGAAGATTCTATTAACAAACCACTTCATGACTTGCATTGCCCCTGAAAATAAATGATGTCCAGGCCTCCTGCACAGAGATGAATTGCACTCCAGAAGAGTCCGCCCCCTCGGTACCTTTGGAAGCAGCTGTTGGCCACAGGACGGTAAATGTTGGCACAGGGAGCCAAGGGTTAAGCACAGAGCCCTGCTGCGTGTCCTGCTGTACCACTCGGATACTCCTTTACTGCTGCTGCCCAGGCGGGTGATCTGTCACCTGCAGTGGGGAAGAAAAAACAATCACGGCTCCAGCTCAGGAAGGGAATTCCCAGCCCACAGAGTGTGGTTTCAAAGCAATCAGTGGTGTCCAGGTACTGGCTTGTGCTGGGCTCACCCGTGTGGGACAAGGTGTGATGGGAGCGGGGCAGCAGCTCCCAGCGGTTGGTGGCCGTGCTGGATGTGACCAGAGCTTGGGACGGTGCAGAGTGGGGAACCCCAAAGCCCTGTGACCCCGGGGAGCGCCAGGGCTTCCCTGTCCATCCGGCTCCATGGACACACCCGTCCAGGCCCACAGCCCTGCTCGCAGAGCACCAGTTCCGAGCGGGCTCTTCCGTCTGGTGTCCCCGGAGCACCCGCGGGAGGGCTTTGCTGAGTCTGGACTCGAGAGGGAAAAGAGCCCCCAGAGTCAAATTCCTCTTTGTTCTGCTTGGATTCATTCTGTCCATGCCCTGCCCACACATCCACTGGTATTTTTGTAAGGACTTCATTCCGGATGGGAGGTGCCAGCCCGTGTCATTCGCATGTGAACGTTCTCGTGGAGCCTGTCGTTGGGTTTTGGTGTTCCTTGCATGTCCTTCAGTCCTGGTTCCCACCTCTCCTGTGTTGGTGGTGTTCTCTAGCACTACAAGTCTTATTGGTTTCCATTAGGAAATTAGGATATATCCATAACAGGTAGGTAGATCCGTATGGTAATAAGTGTAAACTGTGCTGGGAAGTGTCTGTGTATTATAATTTCCTAAAAGACCACTGTAATGTTTCAAGCAATGGGAAAAAAAAAAAAAAAAAAGTATGTTGGAGGGACAACAAAGTTTACATTTCATACTTTTCAGAATCGCTTTATTATTTATTTATTGAAAATAGTGTAGAATTTTGTATCAGAAATGACAGACATACTTATGTATTTTTTGAAACAAAACAGAGATACACACTTTAGTTAGAAACTTTCAACTGACCACGTTTTAGAGGGAGTGTAACTTCCTAGGCATGCATTTGTTTACCACTAACTGGCTGAAAACACGATTAAGAGAATTTAAGTTTCTATTTTTCAATGTTGTTAAGAAAATTGTTTCAATTAAAATATGTAAATAGTACTAAACCCATGCTTTCCTAATTCCATATCAAGACATTTTATGAAATATAATGTATATGAAAATACACATTGTTGTGGTAGGATGAAAGAAAAAGTGATAAAATCTATTACTGGAGTAACATTAAATGTCATTGTCTAACCTTTGATCGCTGTCCTAATTTTACTCAACTGCCAACATGGAGAACATTCATTTCAGGGTTTCAAAAAGTGGCATCGCTTTCCGATGGGATCATTTCACCAGCACCAATGACAGTAACATCTAAGTAGACAAAGGAGACACAAAGCCCGTGGCTGTAACACAGAAACCCTGGGCAGGTTCTTGGAAGGAGGCCCAAGGAGCTGCACCTGCCGAGGCTCAGCTGGAGCTGGAAGGGGGGACCCTTCCCTGCAGGCTGTGACCCCTGACACGGGCCTAAATCCCAGAATCCCAGCCTAAATCCCAGCATCCCGGGCTGGTTTGGTTTAGAGAGAAGGATGTCTAGGAAACAGGCATTTTGAAACTAGTTTTTTTTTATTTTTAGCTGGCCACTCCCCTGAGACCAAGGAACCTCCAGACTCGCTCCCCACACCCTCAGGACTGCCACTCGAGGCTGAGAAGGGAAACGTTAAACTGCTCACTGAACCCCACGAGTGTTTGTGTCAAACCACCTTGAGTGTTTCTCGGAGCACGATTAAAAACTCCCACTCCCTGAGGAGAAAGGGATGTCCCCCTGCAGGGCATTTTAAGATGTGCAGCCAGAGTAAATCCCTTCCCTGGAAAACCACAGAGCCTCGGGCAGGGACACGCAGGGGCACCCAGTGCACCCTCAGCACGGGCACAGGGGACAGGCAGCTGAGCGGGGCAGGGACACCACGCAAGGACGGGGCCACCCAGAGCCACCTGGACAAGCTGGACAAGGGGCTCCACCACAGCCTCAGCAGCTTCCACAAGGCCAGGGGCCAGCTCTGCCCCTGGCTCGGGGCAATGCCAAGACTCACGGAATCCTGAGGGAAGAGCCCTCCAGGAGGATCCTCCGGTCCCACCCTCACCCAGCACCACCACAGTCACCCCTCATCCATGTCCCCAAAGGCCACATCTCTGTGTGCAGCCCAGGCTGACTTTTATCACCCCCTGGCCTTCCCAGCTGCTCTGTCCCTCCCCTTCCCAGCCCGACAGGGGAGAGAGTACAGTAGAAAACCACTTGTGGGTTGGGATAAGACACTTTATTTACACAAACAATAAACAAAGCAGAAGCGAAACATGGCAGGGTTCGTTCTCTGCTTCCATGAGCAGCCATAGGCGGCACTGACGGGAAGTAGCTTCAGCTGTGGGACGGTTCTCAACATCTCCTACCTACCCAGGCCAAGCACAGCACTGGGAGGGCTCCTGTGGGGAAATGAAGTCCAGCTCATCCTCCTTCTTCTCCTTCTTCATCTTCTCCTTCTTCTTCCCCTTCTTTTTCTTTATCCTTTCTTCTTGTTCTTCCTCTTCTTCTTTTCTTCTTCTTCTTCTCTTCTTCTTCATCTTCTTCATCATCTTCTTCTTCTTCTCTTCTTCTTCTTCTCCTCTTCTTCATCTTCTTCTTCTTCTTCCCTTCTTCTTCTCCTTCTTCTTCATCTTCTTCATCATCTTCTTCTTCTTCTTCATCTTCTTCTTCTTCTCTTCTTCTTCATCTTCTTCATCATCTTCTTCTTCTTCTCTTCTTCTTCTTCTCCTTCTTCATCTTCTTCTTCTTCTTCATCTTCTTCTTCTTCTTCTTCTTCATCTTCTTCTTCTTCTCTTCTTCTTCTTCATCTTCTTCTCTTCTTCTTCTTCTTCTTCTTCATCTTCTTCTTCTTTTCTTCTTCTTCTTCTTCTTCATCTTCTTCTTCTTCTTCTTCTTCTTCTTCTTCATCTTCTTCTTCTCTTCTTCTTCTTCTTCTTCTTCTTCTTCTTCTTCTCTTCTTCTTCTTCTTCTTCTTCTTCTTCTTCTTCTTCTTCTTCTTCTTCTTCCTTTCTTCTTCTTCTTCTTCCTTTCTTCTTCTTCCTCTTCTTTTCTTCTTCTTCTTCCTTTCTTCCTCTTCTTTTCTTCTTCCCCTCTTCTTCTTCTTCTTCTTCTTCCTCTTCTTTTCTTCTTCCCCTCTTCTTCTTCTTCCTCTTCTTTTCTTCTTCTTCTTCCTATCTTCTTCCTTTATTCTTCTTCTTTTTTCTTCATTTCTTCTTCTTCCTCTTCTTCTTCTCCTCCTTCTTATTTGTCTCCTTCTTCCTCTTCTTCTCTTTCTTCTTCTTCTCCATCTTCATCTTCTTCTCCTTGTTTTCTCCTTCTTCTCCTTCTTCTCCTTCTTCTTGTTCTCCTCCTCCTCCTCCTCCTCCTCCTCCTCCTCCTTTTCCTCCTCCTCCTCCTCCTCCTTTTCCTCCTCCTCCTCCTCCTCCTCCTCCTCCTCCTCCTCCTCCTCCTTCTCCTCCTCCTCCTCCTCCTCCTCCTTCTCCTCCTCCTCCTCCTCCTCCTCCTCCTTCTCCTCCTCCTCCTCCTCCTCCTCCTCCTCCTCCTCCTCCTCCTCCTCCTCCTCCTCCTCCTCCTCCTTCCTCCTCCTCCTCCTCCTCCTCCTCCTCCTCCTTCTCCTCCTCCTTCTCCTCCTCCTTCTCCTTCTCCTTCTCCTTTATCAAATCATCATCTTCCCGTTCTTCTTCCCACTTCTGCTGTAAATGCTCCATTCCCTGCGGGAGCTTCCGCCACTTGAGACACCGTCCCACGGGCCTCACGGCTGCTCTGGCTGCTTCCTAGGAGGGAAAACCAGCAGAGTTTGCACATGAAAGGCTCCTTCTCAGCACTGAGTGCAAACCAACAACAACTCCAGGTTGGGAAGGCCTTTGCTCTCCCTGTGCTTGGCACTCACTGCATCTCCTCAACTGGCAGAGCCAAGGCACATTCCTCCTTCTTCCTCCTCTGCAGCTCCTTGCACTCATCCCTGAGCTGCTCTCCCAGTGCCGCTCTGGTGAGTCTAAAAGGATAAGGCTTTGTCTTGCATCTTCCTTTTTTTTTTTTTTTTTGCTTTTTTAAACCTGTAGAAAAGAGGAATTGTGTGAAGTCAGGTTTGTCAGCCAAAAAATTACTGGAAATGCCCACTGGAGAACAAAGAGTGAAATCCAGAGCGTTCCATTCCGAAATGCTGACCCTGGAGGTTGCACACCCTGATGGTGCCTCACCAGTTCAGCCCAACGAGGGAAGAAAAGCAAAGCCCAAAGCCAGCAGCCAAGGCAGCCCCTGGCCCTGGGTTTGGCTGTTTTTGACCCCCAGCTGAAGGTTGAGGAGCACTCGGAGCCGCCGTCCAACTGCTGCAGGGAGGCTGCAAACCCAGGGGCAGGCGAGGGCGGGGAAATCTCCCCTCTGCTCAAAGGAACAGCCCAGGCCCAGCCAGGGGCATTCGTGGCTGCATTTGTGTCCTGCTCAGGGCTCCTGGGGCAGCTCAGTGAGCAGCAGAGCTGGCACACCCGGGAGGGACAGGGGAGGCAGAACAACAAGCCCCACGGGGCAGGGGGAGGTCAAGGCTGCCCCTCGGCAGGGTGTGCAGTTCCCCTCAGAGCAACCGAGGGCTGAGCAACCCGGTCAGTCCCTCCCTGCCCGGCTTCGTCCAAGCCCTGCAGCCCCCAGGACTGCACCAACACCAGAGGCTGTGCAGAGAACTGGGCTGGCCCAGAGGGGAGGGATCCAGAGCCACTCTGACCCCACTCAGGGCTTTCTGTGCCGGGAAAAGGAAGCAGCACAAGGGCAGAGAGGAGCAGGGGTGGGATCACAGGCCTCTTCTGGGGAGGCAGGAGGTGCAGGACACCTCCCAGTGCTCAGCAAGTGACAGCATCGGGTCCACGTTGCTGTTCTGGGCTGGCAAGTTACCTTGTAAAGCCTGTTGGAATCCAGGCTTGCTCATGGTCACAACTGCAGGCAGAGCTATCTTATCTCCTAAAGGGAAAGGAACCTCTCTGCTAACTGTAGAAAGAAAAGAGAGATCAGTCCAAACCCACCCAGTATTGACAGAGAAACAGAAGAGGCCCATTATCATTTCCCACAGTACCTTCTCTTATCAACACTCCAAAGCATTGCAGCTGAGTCTCCCTTTGCTCTCAGTTGCCAACTGAAAGTAAAGACAATCAGAACAATAAGAATTCGCTTTAGCTCCACTCATGGGCACTACAGAGAGGCTGAAGAGTGCAGGGGAAGGTCAATGGGAAGGCTGAGAGAAAGGATCCAAGGAAACCGGGAGATCAAAGTTCAGTGACAAAGCTGTGTGGAAGTTCCCGGAGCGTTTGTCTGCTCTGGAGTCTGGCATGGGCAATCACTGCCCTTCGGGAATGTTGAGTTTCTGAGCCAGATGAGGGAATTACAGCTGACAAAAGGGAATCAGCTGAGCACTAACAGAAGGAGGGGCTGGAATTCCTGCAGGAAGGGGTTCTCCACCTTAGCATTTTGGGCAGCTGCTCCAACTTCATCCCGTTGCCATCATCAGGGAACGTCAGGCTGATGTGGTCGTGGATGAGCGTCTCGTCAATCCAGATCTGTTCTGTACTCACATCCGGGTCATGGCATTATCTGCAGGAAAAGAAGGGAACAGGCTGGGGTACTGGAAGCAGAACTGGAACAGCTGAAGTGGGAACATATTTGGAAGCGCTTCAGCTGCCAGAGAGCACGTGTTCCACACTGACTTCAGCCCAGTGTGACGATGGAGTAGCTGCATCCCGACCTGGTGACCCTCACCCAAACCCAGCCCCCAATTCCACACTCTTGTGGGTTGATTGTTATTCCAACCCCACAAAAGCAAAACCTGTAGGTGGGGGCGAGTGGCTGAGCCCTGGGAATTGAAAATGAAACCAAGACAAAGCTGAAGGAAACACAAACAAGGGCATGGGTTGGTGCTCTGCGAGCACACCCAGCCACACCAGGAGGCCAAAGAAAGGAACCCTAAAGGAAGCTGTTTTGTCCAGCACTACAAAAGGCTGTAGTTTAAGTTACTTTTAGGGACTGGCACAGGGACACCTCATCAAGGGACTGCTCATACAGCTCTTGGGGGTGACACTCAGCACGGTCTCTTACCATCCTCTGAGAATGGATGACGCCTCCATCCTGTCAAGGGTCAGTCTGGTATCCAGTGTCAATCCAGCTGAAGGGATGTCCAGGCTCCTGGGCTTGCTGGGGGTGCCTTTTCAGGGTTCCCCCGGCAGCTGGCCTTCTGTCTTCTGTGCAAACTGGTTGAGTTCTCTGGAAATGGGTCTGAGGTCTGGGGGTCTTTGGGGGTCCTGATCCCCCTGCAGTCCGTGGCCACTTCTTGGCCTCATTGGGCGCTCGTGCTGTCCCGGGCCGGGCTGATCTGCGGGAGATGTCGGTCCCGCCAAAGCGCTGCCCGAGCGGCGCTGTCTGGGCCGGGCCTGGCGCTGGAGCGGGGCCTAATCCTGTGGTGCCCTGTGGGGCAAGCGGAACAGCCCGTACACAGCGTGGAGCATCTGACTGAAGAGGGAGGGACGTTTCCTGGAGAGAGCCCTCTGCGCTTCCCCGTCGTGCTCCGACAGCTCAGCGGCGCTGCCCTCTGGCCCTGGGGACGCGCCTGGCTCTCTCCTGCCTGGCTCCGGGTTCTGCTCTTGGCTGCTGTCCTTCCCCTCAGCCAAGGCTCCCTGCACCTCCAGCATGGCCTGGCTCAGGACCTCGTGGATGAGGTGCTGGACTGCGTTCCGCAGGGCTTGGCCTTTCCCTGAGGGGCTCCGGGACCCTGCTGGCGTCTGCTCCTCACTGGAGGATGGAGAAGTGTCCACCTTTGACTCCTCAGAAGAGAGAGGCCGCTGGGGCTTGGCCGGGAGGCAGAGAGAGCTGGGCTCCGACGGCGCAGCGGCGCTGCCCTCTGGCCCTGGGGACGCGCCTGGCTCTCTCCTGCCTGGCTCCAGGGACTGCTCTTGGCTGCTGTCCTTCCCCTCAGCCAAGGCTCCCTGCACCTCCAGCATGGCCTGGCTCAGGACCTCGTGGATGAGGTGCTGGACTGCGTTCCGCAGGGCTTGGCCTTTCCCTGAGGGGCTCCGGGACCCTGCTGGCGTCTGCTCCTCACTGGAGGATGGAGAAGTGTCCACCTTTGACTCCTCGGAAGAGAGAGGCCGCTGGGGCTTGGCTGGGAGGCAGAGAGAGCTGGGCCCCTCCAGGGGGTCATCGTCCCCCTGGGCCAGCCCTTGGGCTCCCTTGTCTCCCCCTTGGGGAAGCTCCTTGGCCTGGTCGTTCTCCCCCGGCCCTCGGCACGGCCGTTTCTCTTTCTCTGTCTTCTCCTGGGGAAGTCCTTGGGTGTTGGACTTCTCCCCGTGGGACAGCACCTGGGGCCTGCGCCTCTGCACCTGTGCGTCCCTGCTGAGCGGGCAGTAAGAACTGCGGCGCAGAAAGTCTTCCATCCAGTCTGTCCTGCCCTCATACTTCTCCCTGTACTCCCGTTCCTTTTGCTCGGCTTTCTGTCGCAACAGCTCTTCCCACTTCCGCTTTCTCTCTTCGTCGATGTTGTAATTGCAGGCCAGGTGGTCTTCCAGCCACTTCTCCACCCGCTGCCTCTTCCTGTTTTCCTCCTCCTCTTTCTTCTTCCGTGGATTGCGGAACCAGTCCCTTATCCTGTGCATCCCTCTCTTCAGGGCACTCCTGGGCCGCCTCCGCGGGAGCTCCAAATGCGACTCCACGTCCGGCTCCTTCCCAGGCCCGCGGTGCTCCGGCTGTGACGTGTCAGTGGGGCTGCACGGGACAGGCTTTTCTTCTGCTGGGGACACTGGTTTGACAGTGCCCTCTTCCACTGGGGACACTGGTTTGACAGTGTCCTCCTCCACTGGGGACACTGGTTTGACAGTGTCCTCCTCCACTGGGGACACTGGTTTGACAGTGTCCTTCTCCACTGAGAACACTGGTTTGACAGTGTCCTCCTCCACTGGGGACTGTTGTTTGCCAATGTCCTCTTCCGGTAGGGAAAGTTCTTTTCCAATGTGCTCTTCCCCTGGGGACAGTTGTTTGCCACTGTCCTCTTCTGCTGGGCACAGTGGTTTGACAGTGTCCTCTTGCAGCTGGGAGAGCTCTTGAACATTGGATTCCCCTTCCAACTGGACACTGGATTCCCTTTCTAACGGGACATTGGACTCCCCTTCTGACTGGGAGTTGGACTCCCCTTCCGACTGGCCATCTTCCCCTTGGGACACTTGTTGGTCAAGGCCATCTGTCCCTTGGCATGGCTCTTTGTCCTCTTCCTCCTGGGACTGTCCTCGGCTTGCAGTGCCCCCCAGGAGCCTCGGGCTGGCTGCTGGGACTGGGGCCTCCGTGGGGCCAGCACAGAGCAGGCCCCTGCTGTTCAGCTCCTGCAGCAGCTCCGTGTCCGGCACGAGGCTCAGCGCTCTGCCAGCACGGAGCAGGCCCCTCCTGTGCAGCTCCTGCAGCAGCTCCGTGTCCGACACGAGGCTCAGCTCTGTGCCAGCCTCGTGCCGCAGCGGTGCCGTGCCTGGGAGGCTGCTCTGGCTGGCAGGAGCAGCCGAGGGAGCTGCCGGCACAGGAGGAGGCTCCTGGCTGGCACTGGCAGCGAGCGCAGGCTGGGTTGTGGCCTCCTGTGCCCCCGTGCTGGGGGGTGAGAGCAGCCCGGGCAGGGGGCTCTGGGGCTGCGGGGGCAGCTGGGGAGAGACGCTGCGGGCCTGTGGCCCCGCCTGCCCCGCGCTGCCCAACTCTGTGCCCCGGCTCCCAGGGGCCCTGGGGATCTCTGGGCAGGGCTCCGCTGGCAGCAGGGGCTGCTGTGGCACCGGTGGCAGCGCTGGCTGCTGGGGCAGTGACAGCAGCTGTGGCAGCTGAGGCTCCTGTGCCAGCGGTGGCAGCTGTGGCAGCCCGGGCTGTGGTGGAAGCGCTGGTGGTTGTTGCTTCCGTGGCTGACATGGCAGTGGTGACAGCGGTGGCAGCCACGGCTTATCCGTCTCCGCCATCTTGTTGTCAGCCCTCTCCATCTTCCTCTCCTCCTCAAGAAACTTCATCTTCCTTGTCCTCTTTGGCTGCCGTGGCAGCGGGGACAGCACTGACAGTGTTGGCAGTATCAGCTGCCGTGGTGGTGGTGGCCGTGGTGGCAGCACTGGCTGCTTTGGCTGTTTTGGCAGCGATGGCAGTACTAGCTGCTTTGGCTGCCGTGACGGTGGTGGCAGCAGTGGCAGCACTGGCAGGTTTGGCTGCCGTGCCAGTGGTGGTGGCAGCAGTGGCAGCAGTGGCACCAGTGGCTGCTTTGGTAGCTCTGACAAAGGTGGCAGCACTGGCAGCAGGAGCTGCCTTGGCTGCCGTGGCAGAGATGGCAGCGTTGGCTCCCTGTCCCTCACCCTGGGCAGGCTTGGAGCTCGCCCCGGGCTGGGCTGGGAGTTGGGCTTGTCCATCTCCATCTTAATCTCCTCCAAAAACTCCTCTCGTCCTCTCTCGCAGAGAGATCCAGGGAGCTGCTTCCTCCTGAGAGAGCGACTCTCCTGGTTGTGGGCACCCCAGGGTTCTGTTGTCCCTCCAACACCCGCGGGCAGGGCAGGGGCTGGGATGTCACAAAGGTCTCCGGGCACCCCCATGGCCGTGTCACAAAGGGCCCTGGAAGGCGCCCGTGTCACAAAGGGCCACCCCCGGCCCCCCATGGACAGCGGGACCGCCCGGACCCGGCCCGGGGCAGCCCCGGCACTCGTGGCCTTGCAGTGCCCGGACCGGTTTGGGTTAGGATGGCACGAAATAGGCATTTTGAAACAATTGTTTTTATTTTTAGCTGGCCGCTCCCCTGAGCCCCGGGAACCCTCACCCAGCACCACCACAGTCACCCCTAATCCATGTCCACAAGGGCCATATCCAGACACCTCTGGGACACTTCCAGAGACAGTGACTGCATCAGCTCCCTGGGAGGTGATGCACACTTATGGCAAGGCCTGACCACTCTGGCAGGGAAAAATTGGTTTTAATATCTGAGGTGAACTTCCTCTGGTAGAACTCCAGGCCATTTCCTGTCATCATTTCCCCTGGGACGCGTCAGAACCGACCAACCCCCCGAGTTTTCTGTGGATCGTGGAAGACCCTCTGCAGCACTGACCCCCTTTATCAGCTCCCACTTGAACCACGGTTTCAAGCCCTGTCACAGAGTGTTCTGCGAGAACTACGTGAATTTCCACTGCAGCTTCAGCATCCTCCTCCCTCAGGGCTGTTTCCCAAATCAAAACACGTGGCACCATCTGCTCGAGAAGGAAGAATTTTATTGTCTCCATCAGCCAGGTTTCCTTGGGAATGGCCAGGACAGTTCTCTAGACAGTCTCTCTCATGATCTTGGTGAGCTTCTGAATTTTGGACCTCGTTGACATGTCCACGTACTTCTCCCCGATGTTGACAATCATGCCCCCGAGGATTGACGGGTCAGTCTAAACAGGGAACGTTGAACAGAAAGTCTATGAGCTCAAGTTTCTTAGCCTAGGATACAACTCTGCCACTAGCAAAGTAAAGAATAAAGCTCTTCAAAGAGCCTTTTTTGAGATAACTTTGTAGTCATTGCATTCCAAAGTTAGGAATTTAGGAATGAAAGCATCATCACGTCTACAAAAAGCACGGAACTACGTAACAGCAACGGGATTCAGTGAAATCTTTAAGGTCATTTCTTAAGCCCTTAACATGAACTTGATGGAACTGATTTATAAGTTCAAACTCCACACCTTGGTCTCCAGCTTTAAGACCTCTCCCTTAGCCAGGAATCCATTCAGAGCACTTTTTAGTTCAGTCAGGTTGGCCTCATCCAAGGGCTGAAAAACAGGAGCAGAAGAGAAGGAAAATGGAGGACTTGAAAATATTCAAATGACAGAACAAGGACCCAAATATCCTACTCAGCTCCTCTGGCAGACAGACACTAGTGCCAGGAACGCAGATTATGCGGTGTTCTGAAACGGGGACACCCAAAGGGCACCACAGGAACAACCCCCTCCTTGGTGCCCTATGTGCAGACCAGGCTGTTTTACCACCCCCTGGCTTCACACACAGGAAGGAAACACATGACCTGCGAGGCTGAAATGGGAGGAACAGCTTTAATTCCTGACAAGTCTCTGCTGGGTATCAAAACCCTCATCGCAGAAAGATGCTCAGCTCGGCTGAGCCGTTTCCCCCTGCTCACACACTCCAATCCCAGAGAGCAGGGTGATCCTGGAGGGGTTTGCTGCTCCCCCTGGCTGCAGAGGTGCCAGCCCACCTGAGCCGTGGTGACGGTGCACAGCACCTCCCCTCGCACCGCGCTCATCATCTTGCCGAAGGCGGCCACGATGTCCGGGGTGTGGCGCAGGCGCCCGTTCTCGGCCAGCAGGTCTGCAAAACAGCACAGCCCCGAGGGCTGAGGGCACAGCTGGGCGGCCCAGAGCCGGGACAAACGGGTGGCACGGCCGGGGTGTCCTCCCAGAGCCCAGCAGGGGTCACTCACTCATCAGGTTGACAGTGATGGGGGACATCTTCTCCCTCGCCAAGGCGTCGCTCACGGCTTTCTGCTTCACCGTGCTCTTGGTGTGAGGGTTCATCACCACGCTGGACAGCTTGGGGTCCTTCAGCAGGGCCTGAGGGGAGACACAGCTAGGGGAGAAAACCCAGGACTTTTCCAGGCATCCCAAGGCCCACCTGGACCAGCCAGAGCAGGAAACACAGATATTCCTGGAGTGAGAACGATATGCTCTGGAGCTGAGGGGAAGTGGAAGGGCAGCTCCTGCTACAGAATCATGGAATGGTTTGGGTTGGAAGGGACCTTAAAGATTGAATGGACTTAGTTCCACCCCCAGGGACACCTTCCACCAGCCCAGGGTGCTCCAAGCCCCGTCCAACCTGGCCTTGGACACTTCCAGGGATCCAGGGGCAGCCACAGCTTCTCTGGGCAACCTGTGCCAGGGCCTGCCCACCCTCCCAGCCAGCAATTCCTTCCCAATATCCCA